GGGCCGTGGTGGCAGGAAAAGGCTGGGGGGCGGGGGGGAGGGGAGGGGAGGAGGTCAGGAAGCCTCCCACTAGGATGTGATCACCTTGCCTGCCCCCCCACCCTTTGCTCCAGTCCCATGCATGCAGCTGCTTGTACTAAAGCTCGTCCCGTGGCTGCCGGCCAGCCCAGACCCCAGAGGTGGCCGACAAGCCATCCCTGGATGCCTGGCCAACCTCTTCTCCGTGAGCAGTGCCCCTCGCCTCATGAGCCTCCTGGTTCCTGAACTTTCCAAAGTCATTGCTGCCTAGGGCCTCTGTGCAGACTCTCCCTCTGCCCAGACCTCTCTCCTGTCAGAGGACCCTTGAGTCTTCTTGGCGGGTCCTCCTTCCCTCTCAGTTCCTATCTGCCTCCCCAACTCCCAGTCCAAAGAAGCCCTTCTCGGGGCTCTCAGAGACATCTCCTGGAGACTCTCCGTAGCACTCAGTGCCCCCAGAAGTTCTTGTTTGGGTTTCCATTTTATTAACGGTCTCTTACAGATCTCCCCCTGCCCGTCCCTACCCCTGCCACCCCTTCTCTTAGCCTGCGCCCCCCCCCCCCCCCGCCACACGACCAGATGCTCCTTACAGCCTTGTTCATGCGTGCACTCCCAGGTGCTGGGACGCTAGCTGATGCATAGTAGCTGCTCAGTGAATACCGTCGAGGGGCGCCCGGCTGGCTCAGTCAGTAGGACGCACGACTCTTGATCTCAGGGCCGTGAGTTCAAGCCCCACATTGGGTGTAAAGCCTACTTAAAGAAAAGAAAAGAAGTACTTGTTGAATGAGCAGGTGGGTGGTTAAGGCCTTCGGGTTATAGGTTGGCTTAGAATTTTAGCCTAATTTGGTTGGTAGAAACTCATGCTATAAGGCCCAGGAAATGAATTGCAAAAGTTGCAAGAAGGTTTGTTCTGCTTCGAGGCTGTAGAAGAGTGTTTTTAATATACACGGTCTGTAGTTGTAAAGATCCTGCTGTGATTTGATACCCTGAGTCTCAGAGCCTGTGGCCCTGCAGTGCGTTCAGGACCTTCCTTGTGCATAGAACAAGGCAGATAGATTGGGGCACAACCCACAGATGTGTTTTCTTTGGCCCGCAACATGTTTTGAAATAAATGTGAATTAGTTGCCAGTGTTGAGGAATTAGAGGATTTTGCGTCATGCATTTCAGCCATTCTCTGGACATCTCTAGGTCTGGTGCCGCTGGGCCTGCGCTCCTGAGTGTAGCACCCGGCCGGCTCTGCTTGGGGGCCATGTGGTTGGTTCCCACTGGGCCCACTTCCTCTGTGTTCTCTGGTTGGCCCAGCACAGGTAGTCATGGGAGGTGTGCCATCCTGGTGTGTTCAGAGTGACCGCCACCTTGTCCCGCACCGAGGCCCGTAATTACGTTTCCTTCCTGAAGGAAGAGGGTGGGGTTGCTTCCAAGGCCCTTACCCACAAACAGCTGCTTCCCCCTGGTGTCTCAGCTCTGTGAGCAGACTCGGCACCCCTGCCTTCTCTCCCCAGGGGAGCATGAGATCCCTGGGCTGAGGGGACCAGGGGGCAGCAGCGTGTGATGACGGCGTTCTGCTCTGCACACCCACCCCATGGTGCCCTCACACACCCTGGCCTGGGTCCCCTGCCACTTCTTTCTCCCCAACAGTCAGGCCTCTCACTTTGTGCCTCCTGCCTGAGCCCACAGAGGAGGCTTCTGGGAAAGGATGACTCACACACTCCCAGAATTTCGAGTGAGGGAGATGCTGGGAGAGCTGCTTGTCAGCCTCAGGCTGGACCAGAAATAGCCGTGATAATTTGCTCTGATCTTACAGCCCTGATGCTGCGGTGTTCTGCTTGGGTAAATAGATGCAGCCCTTCTGACTGCTTGAAACTGTTTCAAGATACAGAAATTTGTTTCCTTTTCGCTCCGAATATTTTATTTATTGCAAACTGTATCATTATGATCAAGCACAAAATCAAAAGGAGAAATGACCTCAGTGCCAGGACTATAATACACTTCTGTCTTCTTTTCCAGCCCTTCTTGTGCATATGCTTTGTTATTATTATTATAAGAAAATTAAGGGGCGCCTGGGTGGCTCAGTCATTAAGCATCTGCCTTTGGCTCAGGTCATGATCCCAGGGTCCTGGGATCCAGCCCCGCATTGGGCTTCCTGCTCCGCAGGAGACCTGCTTCTCCCTCTCCCACTCCCCCTGCTTGTGTTCCCTCTCTCGCTGTGTCTCTGTCAAATAAATAAATAAAATCTTAAAAGAAAATTAAAAGTCATGCCCTCCAGCATTCCCAGCCCCCAGACAAAAGGACAGCATGCTGTGGGATTTAGTAAATACTCATTGACTGTGGATTATTTTGTTTACTTAGCTATAAAGTGAACATCATTCACTGATGTTCTGATTGTTTACATCTGCATCATTCACTGATTACTATTGCATCAAGTTGTTAGAATTTATTTGCCATTTTCCTGTATTTAGATTTTTTTCCCCCAATTTATCAGGATTAGAAATACTGTTGCAAGGAGCATTTTCTTTTCCACGTAACTGGTTTTGAGTGTTTTAAATTATTTTCTTGGGATAAATTTCAAGCATTTGAATCCTGGATCAGAGGATAAAAAAATAAAAATTATAGAAAATAGTTTCTAGGGGTACCTGGCTGGCTCAGTTGGAAGAGCATGCAACTCTTGCTCTCTGGGGTCATGAGTTCGAGTCCCACCGTAGGTGTGGAGAATATATACATACATACATACAAAAACAAACAAACACACACACTTTCTAGAGTCTTATTTATCCCTATTGCCAGGATTGCTTGAGAATATTAACTTTACCATGGACCTCATCAGCATTTAGATTGCATTTTAAAGTTTTTGCTGATTTAGTAGTATAAGATGGTACCTAATTGTTTTAATTTGCCTATCTACATGTGTGGTTATCAGCGTAGGTTGAAGAATTGTCTAAGCATTTAATAAGAGTATTTCTTCTTATGTGATTTGTCTGTGTGAGTCATTTGTATTCCTTATTAAAACACAGAGTTTTCGGTTGGATTTGGGTAAATTTATAATACAGATATTTTTGACCCAACTTTCCTACCATAGCGACTGCGAACATCTTCCTAGTGTGTGATTTTCCATTTTTAACACCCAGTGTGTGGTCACAGGTGTGATTTTCTGTGCTTTGGAGAGTCTGAGAATGTGGTGGCCAGAAGGACCTCAGAATTCGAGCCCGACCACAGTGTCTCAGACGGGGAAACTGGCCCAGGGAGCGGAGGCCCCGGGTGCAGGTGGTGGGAGGGGGGCCAGGGCTGACCCAGCCTCAGACCGCCACTCCTCAATCTCCGCCTCTCTGCGTGATGGTGCTATCTCCTGAGCTCCTAAAAACCCCATGTCGTTCTCCTGGCCCAGACGGTTCTGTTGAGGGGAGGTTTATGCTTCTCCTCTTTGAGCCCAGGCAAGCTCCGTAGGACTGTCCTGAAAGGGTACCCTCGCCACTCCAACAACAAGGAGCCAGCTGTTCCATCTTTCTGACTCAGGGCATTTAAAAATGTCCTGAGCTGGGGAATTTAGAGGAACCTATGATCGATTTGTGAGCATTAAGCTCATTTAACCGGCAGCAAAGACAGTGTAATATCGAATTACCCACAGAAGATGCATTGGTGCCTCAGCGTTGGCAGCCACCTGTCTGCTGGGGGTTGTCCTAGATAGTCGGGGTCTGCAGAGGGTGAGGACAGGGACAGGCCCAATCTGGAGGCTGCTCTTGCCTGGAGGAGCTGATGCATCAGGAGGGCTCTTGCTTCATGCCGAGCTGTGTGCCGCTCATCACCGGGGAAGGTGGGTCCCAGACCTGGTAGGCGACTCCCCACCTGGCAGTCAGGAAACCCGGTTTAGACTTGAAGATTTTTGCCCCAGCTCTCTTGCTGTGCCGCCTGCATCCTGGCCCCCACCCCAGCTCTTCGAGTACATTCATGGGCGGCCCTGTCCATCCAGTCGCAGTCACAGCAGACCTTTCCTTAGTCCAGACTGCTCTAGATAGTCAGTGGCTACAGAGGTGCTTATATTATAGTGGGATGAGCAGAAATAGTAGTATCTGTCCGTCAAACAAGCAGAATTTTAAAATGGGGTAAATAAAATGCTGGAGGTACACAGAGGCACAAGGGAATAGTTTTGACTCGGGGTGGAGTGAGCTGCTCAGAAGAGGTGTCACCATGTCCGCCTGGGGGATGAACAGCATCCGGGCAGGGTGAGGCAGGAAGAAGGGATGGACTGGGGAAGGGAGAGGGCAGAAGGAATAGGCACCTCGAGACGCATGCCCTCATCCAGGTGTCCTTAGCCAGAGTGCAGGGAGAGGGCAGGACAGAGAGGCTGGGTCTGGGCAGCAAATGAGGCTCAGAAGCCGGTGGAGGGTTGGTGAGTGATATGAAAAGGGGCATCTGTCTGGCAGCCTGGGAAGGTTCTGGGCCTCTGGAAGAGTCCTCAGATAGGAGCCCAGGAAGGAAGAGATGCCAGCCCAGGAGGGGAGGGGCCCACGTGCTTAGCAGATGCAGCTTTTCCCAACGTGCCAGACGACACCATCTCCCATAGCCATGATGCTAACAGCAGTGATTGGGCAGATGTGTCCCTGGGGATTTTCTGATTCTCATTCTAGCCTGGGGTCGGCCTTTTTATTTACTGGCATCAGTCTGGTAGGCCAAAGCAGGGAGAGGGCAGGCAGGTGCAGTGGCTTTGAAGTCTGTGTAGTTTGGAGAAGTCCTGATCGTTGGTGTTTATGTGTTTATTATTTCAACAAATAGTTATTGTGTGCCTACCACGCACCAGGTGTTTAGCAGTAGACAGTAGGGAAATGATGTCCACGTAGGGATGACCCAGATTCTAGAAGTTTGGAGCCTATTCTCTTTTCGGGGAATTTGTGGCCTCATTCGTTCATTTAAGTCTGGATTTTCAGTGCTGAATTCCCCTGACGCAGAGAGTAGCTCTCGTGGTGATAACGTTTCCGTGTCTTCCGTTCTAGATGCCCTAGGGCCACGAGCGCTGCCCCTGAGGACTCCTGGTGGCCAGCAGCTCCGAAGCCACTCAGGCGCTTGGCCTCCAGCTCCCACTGACACATCCGGGCATCCTGTCTGCTGGCCTTCCAGCCTTCCAGCCTACCCGAACCATGGAGGCCCCTGAGGTCCCCGTGGGAGCGCTGATTGACTTCGGGACTGAGCCGTCCCCCTCCTCGCCCCTAGAGACACTGCCTCCGAAGCTGCGGGATGGGGACAGCTCCCAAGGCGATGGTGCTTCGGAGAGCGAGACCACAGAGTCTGCGGACAGCGAGAATGACATGGGCGAGTCGCCCTCACACCCGTCCTGGGACCAGTACCGCCGCTCCTCCTCCAACGAGTCCTTCTCTTCCAACCAGAGCACCGAGTCAGCCAAGGACGAGGAGACCCTGGAGTTCCGGGAGTTCATGCGCAGCTACGTGGAGAAGATCTTCTCTGGAGGGTGAGCCCCCGGGACCTGCTCTCTGCCCCAGGCTCTGTCCTTGACAGGGCACCCACTGGGGCCCGGGCTTTCGCTCCCTCATGGGCCAATGAGGGAGCCACCTGGGTGGTTCTCAGCCCCCACCCCCGGCTGCAGGTAGAAGGGTTTGGGGAGTTTTCGCTGCCTCTCCCATCCCACCGCCGGCTCCAGCCACTCCGCTGACATGCTCACGTCCTCACTGCTCAATCCAGAAGGACTCTAGGTTTGCTTCCCTGTGTCTGAGCCCTTGCAGGTTAGCGTCAGACTCACACTGGCCTAGGGCGCCTCCGCGACTAGCAGACTCTCAATGCAGGGCAGTACGGTCCAGAAGGTTTCGATTACCCGTACTCCTTGAGATGCTCATGGCAGCTGAGCCTCAAGCCCCTGCCAGGATGGGGACCCTTCCTGGCTCCTCCTTCTTGCCTTTCTTTGACGGTTCTTGGAGGGGTGAACAGGAGCCCTGGCAATTGGAGAAGCAGGGAGCGGAGTTTGGGTTGGGATCAGACCGAGGAGGGGGTGTCTGTGGGTACGCCTCCAGCTCCCCCACCCACTCTTGTTAATATCTCAGCATGGGGGTAGGGAGCCCACAAGCCCAAATTCCTGGGTTTCGGATGTCAGCCTTGCCCTGCATCCCCACCACACACTAGTCACTGAAGGCCTTGCTGCTCATTTGCCGGACGTGGACCTGCAGCATCCGCATTACGGGAGCTTGCTAGAAATGCAGAGTGTTGGGCCCCACCCAGACCTGCCGAGACTGACTCTGCATTTCAACAAAACCTCTGGACTCTCTGTCGCACGCTCTGCAGTCCGAGGAGCTCAGGGACTGAAGGGATCATTTTCCCATTTTATTAAAGCAATAGGAAGAATCTCTGCCTGTTGATTCTGTGTAAAAAGGATAGTATTCCCTACTGTGATTAAGGTCCCTTGTTCGTAACCTGGCGAGGTGGGATGTCTGCCTTTTCCAGGCGTGTGTCCGTTTTCTTTGCAGTTAGAACAGGGAAGAGAGCTCAGTGATGATCCAAATATTGGACGATCCGAGAAAGCATTCATGTTTGATTTTGAATGCATTCCGAGAGAGCAAGTAGATGTGGTGCCCTCCTAATTTTGTTTGACTAACACTGGAATTAGTTGGCTTTCCTGGAGCACTCCCAGTTAATGAAAGAGGAGAAAGCACAGAAGCCTGCTAATTTGTCAGGAAGGACAATCTATATTTGCGGCAGCCTGTCAGCAATACGGAGCATGGACAACTGAGCCGGATGCATTTTCAAGAGCATTCCAGAAATCACTGAAGACTGGCTGGCGAATTCCCCTATTTCATCTGGTGTTGGTATTTTGGGATAAATGAGACCAAGATGTTTTCTACCAAACCTTAAATAAATGAAAAATTACATGAGCTAATTGATCTTCAGCCTTCTGTTTCTTTTTTATCTGGTCTTTAAATCTGGGGGCAGAGTATTAGCCTCCCACAATGAGTGATCAGAGGTGGTTTGAGGTCAGGTGAGCGTTCTGTTCACCCTGGCCGTGGTGACCCCCCTGGGGTCCCCCAGTCTCCGTCCCTCACATACATAGCCAGGATCGTCAGAGAGGTGAGTAGCTGGCTCTTCAGCACAACCAGCCAGTCTAACCTTGCAGCCAGCCAGTGTGTCCTGCGCATGAGGGATTCTTGAACTCACTGTGTGGTTCTTTGCTGACTTAGCACCAGTGAGTGGGAAGGCGGTGGAACTTGAGGACCAGGCCCTCAGAGGGTCACGTTACCCTTGTCAGCACCCCTGTTTCACTGGAGGCAGGACGTGGGGGATGGAGCCTGGGCTTTGGAGCCTGGAAGTCTGGATGGAGCTCCCATTCACTACTCAGCTGTGTCTGATCCTCTGAGCCAGTCTCCTCATCTTTGAGATAGAAATGCCCCCATTTCCTTGTGGGCCCAACCGAGGATGGGATGTGCCCATGTAAGTCAGGTGTCCATGCTTGGCTAGGGGGCCGTATGTCCCCATTCCCTCTCCTGCCTCTTGCCCGCTCTGGCCGTCTTTGTTGTAGAGGGCTGAAAGTTGCTTTTCCTGCTCTGTTCCTTCCAGGGAGGACTTGGACCAGGAGGAGAAAGCCAAGTTTGGAGAGTACTGTAGCAGTGAGAACGGAAAGGGCCGCGAGTGGTTTGCTCGATACGTGAGTGCCCAGGTGAGGGGACGGCGATGGGAGGTAATGGTGGTGGGGCCCCTTCTCATCGGCTCTCCTGCTCCCTCTCTGGAGAAAAGCCACAGAAAACAACCCAGCAGAGAAATTAGTAGAACTTACTTAAAGATGTTCCCAAAAGGCCTCGTTAGAATAGCGGGAAGCGGGAAGTCACTCATCCAGATGCCCCTCTAGAAAGAATGAGTGAGCAAACTGGTCTTTCAACTGCGTGCAGTTACAGAAAAGTTCCTTTTTTTTTTTTTTTAAAGATTTTTTATTTATTTATTTGAGAGAGAGAGAATGAGAGACAGAGAGCATGAGAGGGAGGAGGGTCAGAGGGAGAGGCAGACTCCCTGCCGAGCAGGGAGCCCGATGCGGGACTCGATCCCAGGACTCCAGGATCATGACCTGAGCTGAAGGCAGCCGCCCAACCAACTGAGCCACCCAGGCGCCCCAGAAAAGTTCCTTTTTTAAGGGCAAGCATGTGGACGATGTCCACGCATAGTTTTGTTCAATAACCCGCAATATTCAGTTTTACAAAGATAATGTAGGGCAGTAACAGCCACGCGAGTTCAGAAAATAATTATTTTTTGTCAATACCTAGTAGGGTCTTTTTTTTTTTCTGTAAAGTGGCTTAAACTCTTGGTTTTGTTTTGTTTTTTTAAAGATTTTATTTATATATTTGAGACAGAGAGAATGAGAGACAGAGCATGAGAGGGGGGAGGGTCAGAGGGAGAAGCAGACTCCCCGCTGAGCAGGGAGCCAGATGCGGGACTCGATCCCGGGACTCCAGGATCACGACCTGAGCCGAAGGCAGCCGCCCAACCAACTGAGCCACCCAGGAGCCCAACTCTTGGTTTTTTAGAAGTATTTTGATCACAATTTATTTTTCCAAGAGAAATTAGAAAATGCAGATCAGCACAAATAGAGAAATGGCCCATACCTCTACAATCCAGAAATGGCCCGTGTTGTCTTCTGGGGGTTTCATCCCTCCACACTGTTCTGTGTTGTATGGGGGAGTTTGTGGGGTTCCTAGTTCTTAAAATTTCAAGGAGACACAGGAAAATGTTGGCTTGTGCTCTGCTCGGGGGCCCGGCTGCTCCTGTCCCGGGCTCGCGGCCCCCCTGTGTCTAGCGGTGCTCAGTGTGGTGAGCCCAGCGCCTGTCTGAGCTGCACCATGCCTCCGCCGCCTGCTCCCCCAGTGACATGTCTGCCCTGTTCCCACACAGCGCTGCAACTCCAAGTGTGTCTCGGAGCCGACCTTCTACCGCCTGGTGCAGTCTTTCGCCGTGGTCCTGTTCGAGTAAGTGATGCTGTAGCTCAAAGCCTTTGTCCTAGAGCACGTGTTCCGCACCCCTCCCGCCCCGTACTAACCCAGTCGTAACAGCCGTGTGAGTCATCAGTGGGCGCTTGCTCTGAACACCACCCCCCGCCCAGCATCCGCCGAGAGGCAGCATTGTACCAGCCTCTCTTGGGAGGGAGTTAGGGTCCTCCCCCGGCAGTGGGGGTTAGGGACAGCAGCTGGGCATGAGTAAATCCCTCCATGAGTGCTGTCAGGACAGGCGGGGATGACACGCAGTTGACCTGCCCTCCTGCTGCGGAGATGTGGCCTTTTCTGGATTTCTTGTTGTGAAGTACCTCCAACTAGATAACCACCCACTTAATGATGTGATCGGATGATTTCAGCCTGCCCCGCGTGCTAATTAGGCCCTGCTGCAACCTTTTATCACAAATAGCACAGTAGAAGCTGGAGGGTGATGAAAAGGGCCCCTCTCTGCATCTGTGTAGCTGCGGGAGGCGGGCCATGTGACTCACAGGCTCTCTCCTCCTGAGGCCCCAGGGCCCTGGGACGGCCACACTCACATCATACATCTTGGACCTGCATCAGAGCAGGTGACTGCCCCCCACCAGCAGGAAAGGAGGGGATGTGTCTGCCTTGGGGAAGCAGACAGCAGCTTTACTGATGGGGGAGGGGGTCACTGTGGATGAGAAATGGGAAAGGACGGGGAAGAGGAAGCCCTGATCTGATTGTTGTTTCTGCCCTACTTACCCTCGTCCCCTCATTCTGGCCCCGAAGCAGGTCCTGGTCCCGTGGTTTGTCCCCATGTCCCTTTTGTCCTTCCAGGCCTGAAAACCCCCTCCTTTACTTTCCCTTCCCCTTTTCCTCCCAGCAGAGACATAGCTGCTCTTGGGAACCTTAATTCCCTGTGTCTTGATGTCTCCTCACCTCTTTATTCCCCCCGCCATGAACATGGAGCATGGGCTGGAGGGAAAAGACCAGAAAGTGGAAGATCCCTATTTTTCTGGCACCTGCTTGGAATGTGCCAAGTTGAGGATAGGCTCCCATGGGGGGATTCTGGGTCTCGGAGCTGGCAAGGGTGGAGGGACGAGAAAGCATCACGGAAGGAGCGGATTTCAAACAGGCCCAGTTGTCTTGTGTGCAGCATGCTCTCAGGCACTGAGAACACCTCAGCTTCTGAACATTCCCACCCATAGGATTTCTCATGAATCCATATTGTGCAGGGAAGGCACCTGTCCCACTTGGTAACACGTATTTAATTCTGCACTGACTTTGAATTTTTCCTTCAATAAAAAGGGGGGGGAATAAAATTCAAATTCCAACCCGACCAAAACACAGAATCTCCCCATTTCTCGGTGAGCATATGTATTTCTGTATGGTTGGGGGGAAAAAGGGGAAAAAACCTTATAATCTTTTTAAAATATGTATTAATTTTTAAAATTTGAGTTTCATAAATTTTAGTTTATTAGTGTCTTATGTTTTTACTTTTATTTATAGTCCTTTATGATTTTTTTGGCAGAGTTTAGTTCTTTAAGTTTTTTTTAAAGATTGTATTTATTTATTTGAGAGAGAGAGAGGAGAGACAGAGAGCACGAGAGGTGGGAAGCAGTGGGCAGAGGGAGAAACAGGCTCCTTGCTGAGCAGGGAGCCCGACATGGGGCTCCATCCCAGGACTCTGGGATCGTGACCTGAGCCAAAGGCAGACGCTTAACCAACTGAGTCACCCCTGATTAGATTATTTTTATATTCAAAGGTAAAATTGGCCCTGACCCCACTGTCTAGATACATTCCATTGACTTTTCTTAAGTAATACCTGTGCAAGGTTAGAAACTAAACAGGAAAGAAAAGTACAAAAGAACAGGGTAGAGAAGCACAGTGCCTCAAATGGAAAGGAAACCCTTTTTCACAGCCCTGTCCTCGCTCCTGTGGTCCTCCTCCCAGCAATAATCCCTGTTGATGACATGCATCCCAGCGAATATATATCTTTCTGAAAAAGATAACCAATTGGGGATTCTTTTTTGTTGCTTCTATGTAGCATCTGGGGAGTGAGATATTAATGTGGACATATATATAAAATTTTTAGGTCTTGCTTCAGGAGCTTGCAGTGAGAAAATTGGGTAGGACAATTCTTTAGCTAGTCGGCCTTCCTTGTCATTTTAGGTGTCATCAGATGGACGACTTCGGGCCTGCCAAGAACCTCATGACCATGTGCTTCACCTACTACCACATCGGTAAGGCCCAGGGACGCGGCCACTGTGGAGGGCAAACATGGAAACTCAAGACTTGTCACCTTGTAACATGGCATCAAGTGAGGATTTCTTTCCCATTAGCGGCAAAGTTGTGAGGCTTCCAGAATACAATAGAACCTGAGGTTAGGAGGGGGTGCAGAAGGAGTGAGATTCCTGAAACAGGAGGAGACGCACGGTCCATATCATGGGTCATGAGGCTGCCTATCCACGGTAGGAAGGAAGCCACCCAGCAGCTGGGAGATGAGAGAATAAGTTCATTTGGTGGGAAATTTCATGGTCGACTCAGGAATTGCTGGATGTGAGGACATCGCTTTCACGTTTTAGCAAAATACGCATGGGGTTGGCTCTGGAAGAGAGTGGGAGGAGCAATATAGGGTCTTGGGGTGGAAAGCGTCCCTGGGTGTGGGCTGGTGATGCCCTCATGACGAGTGCAGATTGTTCTTCATCCTGACGTCTGACAGCTCTTCTGACTCATTGCTCTTTAACTTTCTGGTAATCGGAGCTTGAGGTCTCCCTGTGTGAAGTTCCTTGGGTTTGATGGCAGGGATTCATTCAGGCCGCTGCAAGCAGAAGGCTGCTGGGGGCCCGCACTAGAGCCAAGTCAGGGCGACAGTAAGCACGGCCTCTCTTCCCACCTCTCTCAGGATGCACGGTTTTGCTCTTGTGTTGAAACCCCGCGTCCTCTGCAGCTTGACTCTGTCCTCCCCCAGCTCCCACTGCCCATCCTCCCTGTGCCTCAGTTCTGCTGGCGACAGCTGGCCGGAGTGCCTTAGCTCCAGGCCAGGCCACCACTGGGAGGGTCCTTCATGCCAGACCTTTGGGTCAAATGGGAACCCCTCAATCAAACCGTGGCTCCTCCTCAAAGGAGTGGGAGTCACCTCTGTGCACAGAGCAGCTCAGATTAGTAGGGGACACTTAGCACCTTGACCTGTAGGGGGCCCTTTGACCTGCAAGGCTCTGATCGGTAGGTATCTTTTTTTTTTTTTTAAGATTTCTTAAAGGTTTTATTTGAGAGTGTAAGCGAGAGAGGGCACGAACAGGGGGAGGGTCAGAGGGAGAAGCAGACTCCCCGCTGAGCAGGGAGCCCAACGCAGGGCTCAGTCCCAGGGCCCTGGGATCATGACCTGAGCCAAAGGCAGATGCTTAGCCGACTGAGCCACCCAGGTGCCCAAAGAGGGTATCTTTGACCTGAGGTAGGGTCTTGATCTGCAGGGGTACCTTGACTTGAAGGAGACTCTGACCTGAAGGAGACCCTTTGGCCCGCAGGGTGCACCTTGGTCTGTGGGAGACCTTTGGCCTTACTATTCTCTCCTGGGATGCCCACTCCCGCCTCATCCAGTTTTAGGCCCACAGCAGGGGCGCGGAGCCTGTCTGGAGTTGGCATGCCTCCTCCTGGGACAGGGAGAGGCTCTTGGTCCCCTTGTAACCCTTGGCTTCCAACACCATGGTGTATCTCTGTGTGTACATTGCTCCCCTCCTCTAGGTCCTTGAGCTTCTTTAGGGCCGGGTCCTCTCCTGTTTCTTCTTTGGTCCAGGTGCACCTGGCTGCCTTCCTGTACACAGTAGGTGCTTAGCTGTGGCCCCCAGAGGCCCGGCCCTCCACCTGCCCCTGGTGGCTTCTTGGGGCCTTTGCTGGTCGCCACTGCCACCCAGAGGCTCCGGTGCCCTGTTGTTCCTGCTACACAGCGAGGTTCCATTCTTGCTCCCTCCCGCCTCTCCCCACCTCCAGGTAAGCCGCACCTGCTGCCTTCTGAGTCCAAGGAGAAGCCCGCGGGGAGCATCGACTCCTACCTAAAATCCGCCAACAGCTGGCTGGCAGAGAAGAAGGACATCGCTGAGCGGCTGCTGAAGAACACATCGGCCAAGACAGAGAATGTCAAGGGCTTCTTTGGGGGGCTGGAGACCAAGCTAAAGGGACCCCTGGCCAGGAAACACGAGTAAGTGTCACCAGGTGGACTGGGGGGGGAGGGGCAGACGTGGCCGAAGGCAGAGGCCATGTTCCACCTGCCAGTGGCAGTGACAGGGAGGCCATGGCCTGGCCGTGAAGGAGTCCACTTGGCTGCCCTGGGTGACCTTAGGGGCCCGCAAGCAGCTCCTGAGAAGCACAGCTTGACCCTCCACCCCCCAGAGTTTTCTGTGGTTCGCACATGCCTTTGGGTTGGCTGACAGGCAGCAATGTCCTGGGGCTCGGGGTTTGTTTGGGGAGCATGTGGAAACTGCCGGAAGGCAGCAGGGTAATTACAAATCCTCCCTGGCCCTTCCTCCTGGAAGTGTGGTGAGAGCGCATGTGAAGGGAACCACGTAGGCAGGGGACAGACCCCTGTTCCCCAGGACAGCCGTTCTGCAGCAGGAGCTCAGGAGCCTGCCGGGACCAGGTGCTTGAGACTGCAGTGTTGAAGCCAAGACCACCCAAGAAAGGGGGCACGTCAGCAAGAGAGTACCCTGGGCTCCCCGAAGTCCCCAGTGTCCCCTCCAATGGCCGGTTACAGCCAGGTGACTTGGCTTTGTTCCTCGTCTGGTCCAGGCAGTTTTGGATTCAGAGAAAATGGTGCAAAGGAGCCTCCATGCCGCATCTCCTTAATTCTGGAAGATCGGCAATTGGGAAACATTGCACTGACTTAACACTTTTGTAGAGGAAACCACATGCAATGTAGCCATTGATAAGAGACGTAATCCTTCAGCCAGGTTAGACCGCTTCCCTTGAGCTGAGAAAATGGGGGGGGGGGGATTGTTTTGTCACTGCTGTGGTTCTCTCCCCCAGGGAGGAAGAGAACAAGCCCAAGGAGAAGCCGCAGAAGACTGGTGAGTGCCTCCCAGTGCTCTCCAGGCCCAGCGGATGTCCAGCTGTGGACACACAGAGCCCCTGGTCCCAGAGCCAGGCCCCACAGGGTCTTCGACCGGCCTTGCCGGTAACCTAGCACCACCAAGTAGGCCCCTGAACCTCTGGGCCCCTCCCGCCGGGGCACGAGATGCTGCCATTGATGACTCCCGACTTCCGTCCACCCTGGCCTGGACTTGCCTAGTGAATTTCGGGGGGAAACCTCTTCTCTGGGGAGAGGATTCGGGAACCAAATTCCACGTCTCAGGGAAGTGAAGGAATGCATTGCTGGGGGTGGGGGAGCCGTGCCAGGGACCCTTCCCTCGGAAGGAATTCCCGAGGCCAAGGTGGCAGGATTGTCCTTCCCGGCCACGGGTGGCAGGCAAGTGGTCTTGGAATTTCCACTGCACGTGTCCGTGACCTTTGGGGAGAGGCGGTGCCGGCCGGGAGGGTCGCTGAGGGGTTTGCCAACGTGGGGGCACCCAGGGCCACGGGCAGTCTTTGTCGCCCTCCCGCAGTGACCGTGTGCAGCCCGGAGGAAGAAAGGAAGGGGGAGAAGATCTACCTGTACACACACCTGAGGCAGCAGCCCATCTGGTAAGGCCCCTCCCCACCCTGTGGGGCCGCGCCCCCAGCCCCGCGGCTCCCTCAGCCGCAGAGCTCGCCCCGCCCTCCAGGGTGGCCAGAATAAGGAAGGGGAACCGTGGCAGGTGTGGGTGAGGCTGTGGAGAAACTGGAGCCCTCATACCCTGCCCGTGGGGATGGAAAGGGGACGCAGCCGTACAAAACAGCCTGGCAGCTCCCCAGCACGTTAGCGGAGAGTGAGCCCGTGGCCCAGCAGCTCCGCTCCCGGCCAGGTGCTCAAGAGAACAGAGGACAAGACTCACGCACATAGGCTCCTAATAGCCCAAAGCGGGGAAGAACCCGGATGTCCACAGACATGGACACGTGATGTGTGGATACGCAAAACACGATATATCCCTACCGCACGGTTTTCTTCAGACACGGGAGGGAGTGAGATGCTGACAGTTGAGACGCAGGTGAACCTGGAAAACATTTTGCAGAATGAAAAGGCCAGACACGAAAGACCCCATGGTGGATGATGCCATTTATATGAAACGTTCAGGATAGGCTAGTCCCTGGAGACGGAGTAGCTGAGCACTTGCCCGGGGCTGAGGGAAGCAGGGGATGCGGAGGGACTGTTCACGGGTACGGGGTTTCCTTACGGGGAGGATGAAGAGGTTCTGGAGGGAGATAGTGGTCATGGTTGTACAACTCTGAATATACTAAAAACCACTGAATCGTGTACTTTAAAAGACTGAGTTTATGGTACGTGAGTTATATCCCAATGAAGCTATTTTATGTGAACGTCTAGGAATGAAGGTCATGAGTAAAGTGAGAGGCCGGCGGTCAGGGGAGCCCTTGCCCTCGGTGTCCCTCTGTGGATGACGGTATGGGCTGCCTTTGTCCTGCTGAAGCCTCTCCATCGCCGTGCCGTATTCACCCACAAGTAGGCAGAGAGCGAATCCCCTGGAGCCCAAAGGGTGTCAGACGTGCCCCTCCCTCGAAGGCCACAGTGGCGTAGTTGGCTGACCCCTGATCTTTAAGGACGTCTCTTACTTGTGTGTCCCTATGAACATGTTTGTTCTCTGCACGCGGTCTCTCCGCGCCGGGTTCCCGATTATGTTACTAGACCCAGTTCTCTGGCAGCAGGTGTCCCCAGGCCCCCGGCTTCCTCTAGGAGGCCCAGCGGGGGTGGAGAAGCGGAAGACGGCCTTCACGTCCCGAAGGTGGTGGCTTCAGTTTTGACCAGATGGAGGCGGGATTTACCCGCCTCTGTGTTGTACCTTCATCCTGGGAGAGATGTGACCCTCGGCCGGGAGCCCAGGGAGCCGCCTCAGTTTGGGACAAAGGCACATGGTCATTTTTCTGTTCCCTGCTCTGCCTCTCTGTGACTTGTCAGAAGGTCCTGCAGATGTGGTGGGAAACGGTGCGCCTTTATCCCTCCTGTGCCGAGACCTGCCTCCCTGGAGAGGACTGACAGATGCCTCTGTCTTACAGGCACACGCTGAGGTTCTGGAATGCGGCTTTCTTTGACGCCGTCCACTCTGAGAGGAGAAAGCGGTCTCCCACCACCAGGTAGGAGCAGCGTCTGGGCCTGCCTTGCCTTGGGGCAGGGGACCGGGGACTGGCTTTATTGTCCGGTTTCTGCAGAGGAGAACAGAAGGACGGCTGAGTCGGTGCGTCCGTCTCTTCTTCAGCCCCTTCTGGCCCCGGTGCCCGGCGAGCTGCCTGGAGGGTCCCGGGCACGCACAGCTTCGTGGCTGGCGGGGGGGGTGTCCTCAGCTTGCATGAGCGCTTTCTGTCCTGGGCTCTGGCATGACTTGGCCTGACCCTCCTCCAAAGCGCACACTCCCCCAGAACGCAACCATCAGGACCCCCAAAGATCCACCCCTCTGCCTTCCACTGTAGGAACCACCACAGGACTCTGGGGCGCAGGGCCGGCCGCCCCCGCAGACTCAGCTCGAGAGAGCTGACGTCTGGGGAGATGCGACTGCTGCCTTCAGCTTAGTGCTCTGGTCTGCAGCCTGGGACCCTCCCAGGCTCCCTGAGCTAGTCTCGCCACATCAGAAGACCCCCTTTGTAAACCATCACACACAGCACAGGGCGGCAGCGAGGGCTGGTGGTCCTTCCTGCTCTGTGCCCGCCGTGTCTAGCGGCTGGGCAGGAAAGGGCAGCAGCCCTCCCAGTCCTGGGTCCCCTTACTGGCAACCTCCCGGCAGTCATGAACCTCTCCTTCTCTAATGGGGAGACCCCCTCAGCCTTCCTCCCTGGCAGGGGACAGCCGGGGCCTGCTGTGTATGGCCGGTGCACTATCGCGGGGGGGTCTGAGGTGCGGTCTTTCTGTCTGGGGGGGGCAGCTACAGCCTAGTGGGGCGGGACGGCCTGCAGGCCGCTGCAGTTGCATCTCCTGAGGGAGGCAGAGGGAGCACGCGGAGGGGAAGCCGCTGAAGCCATCCCGGGGGTTCTAGAGAGAGAATCCCACGCTCTGCCAGGAAACCAGACTGAAGGAAGCGCTTAGATGCTTGTAGGTGAACGGGGTTTCCTGCTGCTTATGTAGCTGTCGGGCTCCTAGCAGATCAAGGGTCTCGAGTACCCCGTCTCTCTCCGTCTCTCTGTTTCTGCCTGTAATAACGCTCCTCTCTCGCTGTTCTCTTTTTTCCATCCACATATCTTGCATGACTTTGACATGTTCCTCTGTTTACCTGTTTCTGCTGCCGCTCCAGAGGGGATGCTGGAGAGGAGGAGAAGAAGAGGTGTGTGTCCACGTGACTTTGTTCATGTTACAGGGCCGGGGGTCCCCGCCAGGGCCACCTCAGGGCGGGGGCCGCGCGCTAGCTGCTGCAGGGGGCAGAGCCCAGGCGCAGGGGCAGCCCGGTACCACTGCCAGGACAGGCCGGTGGCGGGTGGGGGCTCGCCAAGGACAGAGCACCAGGAACAGGAAACAGAGAGGGCACTCGAGACCCTGCAAGGCCCAGGGTGAGTTCAGAGAGTGAGCAGCCAAGTCCGATTTTGAGCGGCTCCAGCCTTCTGGCACTCCAGCCCCTCCTGAGCAGGCCTCGAACCCACCCCCTTGACTTCACGCTTGGTAATCTGGTCACGGCACAAAGCCGTGGGGGGCACAGAGGCTCTTCCTCTCTGCAGCCAGGCTCAGAGGTGTGCAGGGGTCTGGCAGACCATGCCCTGCCCCTGGGACAGGCTCGGGGGGGGGTCAGGGAGGAAGGATGGCTGCCCCCTCCTTGCCAGCCATGTCGTGGTGAGGAGCCTATGTGTGTGTGTGAGGGGGTCCTCTGAAGAGAAGGGCCTAGAACAGGGCTCTTTTCTTCGAGCCCCCAGTGGGGTCTCTCATCGTTTGACCTTTGTATTCGTTAGATACCTTTTTAATATGTTTTTGGAGTGAAAGGCCTGCCGATTCAAAATAGTTTCTGATACAGTGATTGTTTCTCCTCAGGACATTTCCCAAAGCACACTTCCTTTAATCAGTAATATATTTTTAGTCCTTATTGTTTATGAGAAATCTTGCTTCTTATGCAGCCTTATTATGGCTATAAAAGGAACACTTAGGCATAATGGACACCCCCTTTACTACAAAGCCCCTGCGTCTCCACAGTCTCTCTGGGTGGGAGCATGACTCACCGCGGCCTCCCAGGGACCCAGTTGCTTAGCAGCGCGGCTGAGGCCTAGGAGAGCTAGAGCACCGCGGCCGCCTCCAAGCCCATGGAGGGAGTGCCAGCCTCTGGGCCTCACGGGCCTCACGGGCCCTGTTCCCCAGAGCAGACGTGGTCTGACCCACATGCCCCGGGCCTCAGCCGGAAGAAGGGCAAATGTTCCTCTGAGATTGGGGTGGGAGGGTGGGCTCTGGGTCCCTGGGCAACCTCTTGCCTCCAGCATCATATCTCCTCTTCGGGAAACTCGGCTGATGATGCTCAGAGGCAGAAAGGCCTCCATTTCCAAAGGTGTCTATTGCTCACATCCAAATTATCACTGTGGCAGTTTAGACACATGCCCTGCCCTCTGTGTGGGATTAGACCTCGACTGGTATTGGATATTGATCTCAGTTTTAAGGAATTGGTTGGATTGCAGGCAGCACCTGACCCGCTGAGTGCTAACGACCTTCCACCTCTTTCTTCAGAGGTCAGATTAAATGCCCCACCTCTAGTCCTAGCCATGGCAAAAAGTATCTCCTTCTCATCCGGGTCAGGAGGGCTCGGGCCGCCGGGTCACTCCCACATGGTGGGGGTTGTGCATCCCACAACTACAGCAGACCTGATGGTGGTTTGGGATTCATGTGCCTGGACCACCCTAAGGGTAACCGTTGGGAGAAAGAGGGTGGGAAGCAAAATGGGATGGGATTAGCATCGTGCCTGGAAGCACTTCTGGGTGTCTTCATGGGAGTCCTGTCCTCAGCGTGAGGAGGCCGGGAGTGACACCTGCCCCCGGCGTCCTGTGGCCTCCTGCTAAGCCACAGCAGCTCGCTTGGCCCTGGGCCCGGCAGGTGGAAAGCAGTTGAGGTTTGATGTTGGGTCTTTTTCTCTTCCTTTGGCTTCTCCATTATCCCCACCCCTCACTCCCTCACTCTGCCTCTTCTCTCCCTTGTCTCTTCTCTCTCTCCTAACCTTTTTTTAATCAGACTCCTCACCCAGAGCTTAATCTTTAAGGGGCAGGGGGCTTAAGTGAGCGTCTCCTCCGCATCTGCGTCTGCCCCTGCAAGGAGCCCGCTTCTCAGGTAGACACAGAGGGGCCAGGGATGAGTCCCCCATCCGCTCGAGACAGGGGTGCTCCGCCAGGGGGGGAGCGAGCGCACCTGCAGTGAGCTGCTGGAGGCGGCTTTCCATCGGGATGCAGGGTTCATGGGGCTCAGAGAGCGCCCTCCCCGCCCCAGAGCCTGCGCCTGCTCATGTCCCTCCGTGGGGAGCAGACAGAGCCAGGCTTCAGAGTCCCACCTGGGCAGCCACACACAGACTGCATTTCTTTCTCTTGGGGTTTTTGCACCTTGTGCCGTCTTCACGGTGGTCAGGGCGGGGGAGGAAAGTTCCGGGGGGCCTTCGGGAAGATCGGGGTCTCATCTGTGTGCTCTGGGGAGGGGCGTGGAGCATGAACTTGGCCTCTCAGGAAGTCAGGGCCGGGAAATGCAGCAGAGCCAAGACCCCGCCTGACAGGACAATGTGGCCCTCTGCAGCCTCTCCTGCTCCCTGGGCCTCCCGGCCACGAAAGGCTGTGCACACTGCCCCCTCCAAAGAGCCCAGGAGGCCTGCAGATGAAGCACCAGCCTGAGGGCCTCCCGGACGGGTTCTCAGCTCCTACCCTCCAGGGACGCCGGCAGGGCCCTGTCCTCTCTGTAGGTCATCCTGCCTCCCCGGTGGGCCCGGGACCTCCCATTCTTGAGCCACAGAAAAGGACACGGGGGATGGTGTTCTTGTCTCCTAGAGAATGTTCTGGACAGCCACTAAGCACATGTCATCTCTGGGTCAGTAGGAAGCATATGAGCTTTTGGATCTCCTCATCTCAGGAAGGATGAAGTGATGAAGTTTGTATTTGGGGCCCGTCAGGCAGAGTGTCAGAACCCTGGGCAGGCTTTGTGGAAGAGCAGATCAAACAGCTCTTCAGGGGAGGTGCTCCCCACTCTGTGTCAGGGAGGCAACGCTGGGGTGCCCCCTGTAGATCAGAGCAAGGGGGCGAGAGGTGGGGGACGCGACGGCATTCTGGAACGCTCTCCTGTCACCTGTGCTTGCAGGGAGAAGTGGTGCCACATGACCCAGGAGGAACGCAACGACAGTCTGCGGTTCAATGAGAACATCACCTTCGGGCAGCTGGGGTGAGGGCACCACGCGACCCCACCCTGGGGGTCCCGACTGGGTGGGGCATTGGGGACGAGGGCCAGCCTGGGGTTCTCTCCTGCCGGAAGGCCTGTCCTCATGGCTTCCAGTTCCCCACGGACGCACCTCCTGTCCCCATGCCCGGTGGTGGGCCAAGGCGGCTGCCCTTCATTTCCACTTCTTACAGTTCCAGGCAGGCCCCCCTCCCCTGGCGCCCCCTCCCCAGGGAGGAAGAAGGGTGCCAGCTCACGGGTGTCTTTTTCTCCAGCACGTTCACTCACAACATGCTGGCGTTCGGGCTCAACAAGAAGCTGTGTAATGATTTCCTGAAGAAGCAGGCCGTGATCGGCAATCTGGATGAAGGTGAGCAGCGGCCAGAGGTGGCCGGGGCTCGGGGCTGAGGAACCAGTGGTCTGCCCCACCCTGCTCACAGGATTTCCACGGTTTTAATTAGAAACGTGATGCTGGGGGCGCCTGGGTGGCTCAGCTTCCCTGGAAAATCACAGAGTGCTGTCACCAACCCCACAGTACCGGGCAAGAACACTGTCCCCTTGCCTGCCGGGCAGCCCTGGGCAGCTCGTAGGACTCAGGCCTGGCTCCCGTGCGTGGTTCATCTGCCGGCACTGTGCCTTCCCCGGGCTTCATGTCCTTTCTGTAAGAAGATGCGTCCCATTTCCAAGGAGCCCACTTCCGGGTGCCAGGAGTGCAACATGCTGGCGGCTGAGGGCTCGGTGTTACGGCCATTCCTGGTGAGGTCCTGCTTTGTTACTGCCCGGATGAAAAGAGCAGGGCCTACCTGCCGATGTCGACGCCTTTCTTCCGAGAATTAACGTTGTTTTTTTTTCCAGAGCAATACAAGCTGCTGAGCGACCACATTGAACAGATGGCCATCGAGTAGGCAGGCCGTGGGAGGTCGCCCAGAGCACCCTCCAGGAGGACTGAAGGTGCACACCCCTCTCCTGGGCCAGCGACTGGCTGTCACCCCACCTGAAGACCCTGCATGACCTCGGCAGCACCCAGAGCCGCTCCACACTGCCCTAGAACTAGCGGTTAGAACAATCTGGTTGCCCGTCTCCCCACCTCCCTTCTGCCTTGTCTGCTCCCCCCATCCGCGTGCCATAGGGTCCCTGGGATTACACGATAAAACCAAGGTGACTGCCCCTACTCCTGGGTGTCAGGCCTGTGACAGAGGACCGAGCAGGAGGCGGAGGAAGGACACCAGGGCCGAGGTGGGCCCAGGGCAGCACCTGCTGCAGCCGCCTGCGGGAGAGGGAGGGGGTGGGGTGCCCGTGGGAATGCAGGTGGGGGCATCATGAGCTGGCACACGCCAATGACATGGGTGACAGTCTGGGACCCTCTTCTTCAGCAGCGGGATGGAGTAGGGGTACTCCGCCAGTCGGGGCTCCTGCTGAGCCACAGCCCTGCGCAGGGGGCGGTGGGCCTCCCCGGGCAGGCTGGGTCAGTCCGTGGCTGCTGCTGGCCTCGCCAGCTCCCCACTGTGTGACCGGAACTGGAGTCACAGGAACCGCTAGGAGGAAAGGGACACTTCCTATCTTAGAGAGGGAGAGAGCCCAGTGCAGAAGGCCCTGGCTGCGGAAGGCCCAGCGAGGGGTGTGAGCGCCCCAGAGGCCTCTTGGGATCTGCGTGGCTGCTTGGGACTCACACCAGCACCGAGGTGTCAGTGTCAGGCCATCTGAAATGCTCCTGGTCAGCTGACGGCTTCCTTCTGAAGCAGAGAGAGTCCTGCACTCCGTCCCTGGGAGTAGCACGGGCTGTGTGCCCCGTGAAGAGGCACCAGAGAAGTCTCTTCAGTAGCTGCAAGACAACCACCCTTTCTAAAAGCAGACACTGCTGTTCTGTATTTCAAGGAAGACAGAAAAATCTGCGACGGTGTTAGACAGCGGGGCAGAGGCGGCTTCCCGGGGCAGTTGCATGAGGCTCATGGGTGGAGCGGCCATGCGGCATGGGGCCCTCCGCCCCCCGGCAGCCTTGGGAAGGCGCCTCTGCCCCCCTCGGCCCTCGCCGGCTGACCGCTGTCCTGCACACTCTGCAGATACCCCTCGTCGTGCATCCGGTGACCAGGAACCCTGGCTTTTCTCTCGGGGTTTGTCCCGGCTCGAGAGGACTGACGTGTGACAGCAAGCAGCCAGCATGCGGCTCCTCCGGCCTGAATATTTCCCCATCCGTCCGCTTCCCTCTGCCTCGCCCCTCGCGCTTGGGCACTGACCTTGAAAGTAGGCCCCGGGGCGTTCTCCTTCATCCTCCCCTCCTGTTTCCCTCTCTACCTCCTCTCCTCTCGGTCATTACATTACAGTCTCCTCTGGAGCACAGCAAAAACATGCCTGGTAGTCACTCACCCATCCAGTGCTGGAACGCTTTCCCTCATGGGATGCCTCCCTGGAATGTTCCAGAGACGAGCTGTAGCCGCACGTCTCGGTGAGGACAGGAGAGGTGACGTGAAGCATGGTGTGATGGGAGTGGGCATGAGGACAGGAGAGGTGACAGGAAGCATGGTGTGATGGGAGTGGGCTGGTGTCCAAAGGCTGGATCCCAAAACTCAGCTTGTTTTTATGATGGCATCGTGTGTGTGTGTGTGTGTGAGAGAGAGAGAGAGAGAGAGAGGTCAGCCTATCTGGCGATGTCACCAAACAGAGCACAGCTGTGTTGCTGGGGCAGGTCCCACAGACCGCAGGTCCCCCCCACCCCCCGGCCAGTGTTGGGCCCCAGGGACAGTGCATGCCTCTACCGAATGCATTTCAGAGAAATAAGGTCAAATTAATGAGTATGTGGACCCTCTTCCAATGCCTATTTCAGATAAGGCATCCCCTCCTAAAACGCTCAACTGTGACCCCTGAACCGTTGTGCTCCCCTCCCTCTCTGTAGAATCAGGGCCGCATGGGGAGGGGGGCTGTCTGAGGCCCCTGCAAGGCTCTCCTTTCAACTGCATTATCATTGGCTTTATTAGTCATTTCTCAGTAGTTAGTTGAAATGCGTTACAACTTTATTGTAAGGTGCCCCAAAGACTTATCCTTGTATATATCAGATTTTTGTATAGAAGCCTGATTCTGATTTCTGGAGGGAGTGAAGTGGGTTCTGAGGCTCTTTCCAGAGTGCCAGGGAGTGGGCATGGCCCTTTCCCCCTGGGGAGGGGCCGGTAGGACCCCTCCGCCTTTGGAGGGAAACACCCCTTTGACTTCTTGGGCTTTTCCAAGCACTTTAATTTCAAAAATGATATTGAGACGTTGATTCCCCCCTGTAGGCCTCTTGAAGTAGCAGTTGGAGGTGGAAGCAAGGCCTGCTTAGGGTTTTCTCCGCCCCCGCCGCCATTGCTTGTTCTTCTGGCTGGGCAGAGTGGGGTTGGGCTGCCGGGCTTGCTTGGACCGTGCCAGAGACCTGGACCCTCCTCAGAGGCAGCATTTCACCTCACAGTGCCTCTGGCCGGTGTCACTTGGAGGAGTCCCGTCCCTAGAAAGAAGGCTGGCAGCCTGCCCTACTGAGGGTGCCTCTGTCCCTGGGACTCCGTCTCTCCCCCTGGGGGCCCGGCCAGAGCAGACCGACGTGGGACATCTCAGAGGTCCCAGCGTGCGGAGAGGGCTCCCTCTGGTGCACACACAGGGACACGTTGGTGTGAGAGCCCTGCGAACCCTTCCTATAAACTCAGGAACAGTAGACTCAGTGCAGGAAGGGTCAGATCATATCCTAGAAGAGAGCTTCCCGTCCCAGCAGGTAGAGTGTCCGAAGCTGGGAGCTCTGAAGGCTCGCCCTTCGGCACTGGTGTTTCAGACTTTCTGCTGGCTGTCCTCCGGGGCTGTGGAAATCCCAGTGAGCCAGGACAGCTAATCCTCTCAAATAAAAAGTTCCCTGCTTGGAAAACAGGATGATGTTGAGATGCAGCTTTTGGAGGTGGGGCTGGTGCTGAGGGAGAGCGAGAGAGAGAATCCCAAGCAGGCTTCACACCCAGTGGGGAGCCCAAGGCGGGGCTCAGTCTCATGACCCTGAGATCATAACCTGAGCTGAAACCAAGAGTCAGATACTGAACTGACTGAGCCACCCGGACGCCCCAAGATGCAGCTCTGTGTTTAGCCTTTGTTTTAATTTTAGCAATATTGGTAGATGTGTAAGCGGGGGGGGGGGGGGGGCACGTTAATATTCAGGTTGCATCTGCTGTGTGTGTGCATGTGTGTTTAACCAAAGGTAGGAGAGCAGGATTCCGATATCCTAAGTTATTTGTACAGTAAAATGGAGTGAACTATGATTTTCCTGTTGCCAAAAAAGGGGGGGAGGGTTTGCTAAGAAGTTCTTAAGTTACCAAAAGGAGGACCAGAAAAGAGTCCCGTTTTCTGAGTTCTGTACCCAAATTAAAATCTAGGATGTTCAGGTTAGCCCGAGAGCCCACCTGGGGGCAGGTCAGCCGGTGAAACCCCCCAAGCAGACGTGAACAGAGGCCCAGGGCAAGAGCCAGGCATGCCTCCCTTTTCTCTGTGCTCCTCTGCGGAGTCGAAACCAGTGTGTGCCCTACTTCTCCAAGCCCAGCTAGACCGCAGAGTTCATTGCCGGGGAGAGGAGACCCAGCCTTGGAGTTTGCTCCCCGATGGAATGTTTTATGCGACTAGCTTGTGCCACTGAGTGCCTGGCATTCCAGACTCCGGATGCAAGGCACACCACGAAGGAGTGTGTGCGAGGCTCTGTCTAACCCCCGTGACCGTGACCACCAATCGGGGCTGAAAGTTGCAGGCCTGACCCTCCTGCTCGTTACAGCTGCCTAACGGTGGGCTTTTATTTAGGGAGGATCCAGGTGAGCCCGTGAGGTTTGATCAGTTTTGTTACCAGATTACCTAAAACTGGAGATACTTGGCAGCTGGGGTGGGGGGTGGGCGGGAGTCCTTTGTCCAGAACAGTGAGGAAGCTTTGGAAGAAGAATTTGTCATCCAGAGTGGGGAACCTGGGCGCAGGGGAGCGAGGTCCAGCCCCAGCCTCGGGAGAGGGGGGTACAGCGCTCAGACCAGCTCAGGCAGCTCTCTTCTCTCCCCATCTTCAGTCAAGGACCAGCTGCCGGGTGGGAGTTCCTCCTGCCCCCTAGTCCCCCAGCCTTGTAGTTCTGAACCCTTACTCTCATGTCTCTCTGCGTCCCCCTAGGTTCCCTATAAATCATTTATTCCTTATGACTCCCGGGGAGGAGTTTCACCAAAAAGGGAATTGCATCGGCTAGAAGCACCCCTAATTGAGTAATGTGCAATGTTCAGACCTCGGGCAAAGCCACACAGGCCATATGTCCCATACGTCCTTGTCGTCGTGGGGCTGGGAATAGGGGGTGTGTTGTTCACCAGATAACAAATGGAGGAGTCCTTTTCAGATTGTTCACCTTCAGCAAATATACTCGATGCTAAGACCATCCTCCATGGCAGCCTCTGGTGGGCTTCATCGGTGTCCCTTGCTGTCCCTGGGCCCGAGAGTCTCATACTCCTCGGGGAAGGATGGAAGGGTCTCGGGGGGGCCGGCGTGCTCTGTGCCTTGGCACTGTCTTGTGCTCCCCTAGTCAACCAGAGCCCGGGAATGGAACCCCACCCCAGCTGTGTCCAGGGGACTCACATGTCCCCAGGATTCCAGTGGGGCACTGTTCCCCCTTGCGGGCTCTTGGTTACTAACAGAAAGGGATAAACTTGTGATTTCCAGAAGAGCGTCAGGATGGTCTGGGTTTGCCCATCTTCCCGTCACTTCCACACACACCTGTCACAGGGTGTCCGAAGTTGGGGGAGAACTCGGATCGTCGCCTAACCCCCAGACTCCAAGGCTTTGACAAGGCAGAGTCAGAGCAGAGCCCACCACCACCTGGAGCCCTCCTGAGCTGCCCCTGAAGGGGTCTGCACTTGAGCTAAAACGGACCACCTATTGGTAAATCCCCCTTGACCCAGAGGTCAGTCCTAGAACTGGGGGCTAGTACCTGTTCCCTCCTTGGACATGTGCTCGTGAAAACAGGGGAAGAAGGTACTGCGGGCGCTGTCCCCGCACGTCAGCTCTGACAGGGGCGGGGTCCTATTCTCTTCTGTGCCAGAGACAGCGTGGGTTAGCTTCCTCCGTCCCTGCGGTCATGAGCGAGCCTGGGGCTGTCACTCCTGTAAGGCGCCTTGAAGAAGACAAGCCCAACCTTTGAACACTAGGAAATGCTAGAAATTCAGACATTAGACATAGATCCCCTTCAAATATGTAAATGTGTTAGCACAAGGCCCGTCTGTCACCTCTGTTATAAACCGTGGCCTCTGCTGGGGCTCTCGGGGATGGTTTACACGTGTGCATTAATGCGTTTTCTCCTTCAGCCAACTGGTCTTGGACCCTGACCTTGCCATTGCCACACCCAGAGCTTGCCTTTAGCAGCCCCAAAGTAGAGTTCCGTGAAGCAGTTGTTCTTGGTGTGACCATTACGCAATCCTGTGTCCCACCAGGTCATATCCTACAAACAGTATTTTAAGGCTGAGGAAGTTTCAAGGTGGGAGATCTCAGAACAGTGCTAAAATCAAAACTTTAATGCGAAGGAAAAAAAAACACCTATGTCTCTATATTGCACCTCAGATTGTCAGAAGGTGGAAACTTAAATAAATTATCTTTAAAAAAAAAAAAAGCTAGTCTGTTTAATTTTTGTTTTCACGTATCGGTGAGGACTTCTTACAGAATTGGCAATCTTCTCAGTGACATGAGCTTTTCAGAAGAAAGCATCTTTTTTCTGGGGTCAAATAGATGCTTTCCCCACTTAGGCTGAGCGTGAGGGTCTTGTGCAGATGCGCGTGCGTCTCGTGGGAGTTCGAGGAGGAGGAGGAGCGCCCCTCGGAAGGCCAGCCCGCGCCTGGTCTGCACAGGGGGTCTGTGTTGGTGGAGTGGCTCCCGTGGACGGGACCTCAGCCCGGGCCTCCAGGATGCCTGCCAGCCCTTCTAGCTGGAATCCTGATCTTGCTCTTCCTCTGAGCCCCAGCTGCCTCCCTCCTGTGTTTTTGAGGCTTGGGGTGGGGGTTATAGGTAGAACCCAGTGGCATCTCCTACCTGGCAGGAGCAGGATGCCTTTATCAGTCCTTTCCAGTGTGGTTTGACAGACATGTTTTTTGAAATGTTGGGCTTTCTCTTTTTCGGATTATAAGAAGTCAGTAGCCATGTTTATATCTCTGGCCTAAACAGATGAGGGAGGTGAATCTGGGGAGCAGTGAAGGGTCTGGGAGAAGGGTCCTTAGCCCGAGGGGTGCCCAGGGGTAGGATGGGGTGAGGGCCTGACCTCCATGTCCCCAGTTCTCCCACCCAGTCTGGAGAATGCCACGCCCTCTTAGCCGAACATAGAGGGATGGCCTGGGTGGTGGACGCTCCCGTCCCCAGGCTGTCACCTCTGACTCTTCCTCTGGTGCTCGGGGGAGTCCGCCAGCAGCAGCAGGCCAATGGTGGGATTCAGAGGCAACTACGTTGAAGGGGAAGGATCCCCTTAGGGCAACAGAGACCCAGAAGACCATGGGGCAGGGCGGGATAGCCCCAGGAAAGAGGCCAGGTCCCATCCCACCTCCCTACCAACTGCCAAATCGTCCTTTGAGCCTTGGTGTCTACATCTGTAAAATGGGAAGAACATAGCACCTATCCTGGGTGGTCCTGTGAGAACCAAACGGGTATACACAGACCTCAGATTGTGCTCCTCACCGCTGCTCCTGCCGTCATTATCCCCACGAAATAAACCAGGGGGCTGTGCCTGCAGGAGGGCTCCCACCTGTGAGAGAGAAGAACACCAGGCTTTTCTGTCCAAATTTTATAGGGATAAATTTAAAGTGTCTTATTCAAGATTCACAAAACTAGATATAAAATTTAAACAGTGAGGCCTTCAAACGGTGTTTCTCTGTGGGTTGTAACTTTTCTCCCTCTGACTTTATGGAAGCGTTGAGGGGACACCCCTCTGTTTTCTGGAGGGGATGCTGCTGCCAAATTTATGAGTCTCTTAATAAAGCCAACTAGATCCTCTATTTGGCTGAATTTTGTATTTTAACAGAAGCGTCCCCGGGCCTCACCCTGCAGCGACGGGTCCTGTCAATGTCATTGTTTCTGCGCTCAGCAGTTCTGAAAGGGATGCATGCTAGCTCATCCTTGTTCTAATCTGTGATTCCCTAATATTAATCTAGAGCCTGTGTCCGTATCATGCTTGACCCTCTATCTTCTCTGCTGAGGTGTCTGTTCAGACCTGTACCCGTTTTTGTTTTTGTTTTTGTTTTATTTGCGAGAGAGAGAATGAGAGAGAGCACGAAAAGGAGGAGGGTCAGAGGGAGAAGCAGACTCCCCGCTGAGCAGGGAGCCCGATGCGGGACTCGATCCAGGGACTCTGGGATCATGACCTGAGCCGAAGGCAGTCGCCCAACCAACTGAGCCACCCAGGCGCCCTGTACCCGTTTTTGATGGGGTGGGTTGTCTTCTTATTGTGGAGTTATGAGAGTTCTTTGTATATTTTGAATACAAATCCTTTGTCAATAGGGGTTTTGCAAATATTTTCTCCCAGTCTGTGGCTCGTCTTCTGGTTCCTGGAACAAGGTCGTCCGCGGAAGTAGAAGGCTTAATTTTATAAAGTACCCGTTACCGATCTGTGTGTGTGTGTGGATAGTCTTTTGGTGTTTTGGGTTAAAACTCATCACCGAACCCAAGGTCGTGTAGATCGTCTTCCGAATTGTTACAGTTTTGCATTTGGAATATATCAGTGGACAGTTTTGAGTGAATTTTGGTGTACGTTGTAAAGTTTGTAGCTGAATTCACTTCATTCTGTACGGCTTCCAGTTAATTGTCCCTTAACTATCTTTGGATAAGGCATGGGACATTTGGCTCCATTCGGTTTGAATTTCAACACCTGGGGGATTCAGCGGGCCCCAATGCGGCCGCTGAACTGTGGCTGGGCGTCCTGCACTGCCCCGGGGGGCCGGCAGGGGGCAGCGGAGCTTCCCCCACCCCCGCCTTGCATCGCGCATGCGTATTCCCGCCCTGCATTGCGCATGCGTATTCCCGCCTCGCTCTGTCTCCACGTGCCCACTGACAGGAGGCGGTGAGGACGCTGAGGAGGGAAGGATGCGGAAGGAGGTGAGGAGGGGAGGACGCGGGAGGAGGAGGGGAGGGTTTGGGGGGGGAGGTGAGGACGCAGAAGGAGGTGGGGGGGGAGGGCCAGGGAGGAGGAGGGGAGGGTTTGGGGGGGGAGGTGAGGACGCAGAAGGAGGTGGGGGGGGAGGGCCAGGGAGGAGGAGGGGAGGGTTTGGGGGGGGAGGGGAGGACGCAGAAGGAGGTGAGGGGGGGAGGGCCAGGGAGGAGGAGGGGAGGGTTTGGGGGGGGAGGTGAGGACGCAGAAGGAGGTGAGGGGGGGAGGGCCAGGGAGGAGGAGGGGAGGGTTTGGGGGGGGAGGTGAGGACGCAGAAGGAGGTGAGGGGGGGAGGGCCAGGGAGGAGGAGGGGAGGGTTTGGGGGGGAGGTGAGGACGCAGAAGGAGGTGGGGGGGGAGGGCCAGGGAGGAGGAGGGGAGGGTTGGGGGGGAGGTGAGGACGCAGAAGGAGGTGGGGGGGGGAGGGCCAGGGAGGAGGAGGGGAGGGTTTGGGGGGGGAGGTGAGGACGCAGAAGGAGGTGGGGGGGGAGGGCCAGGGAGGAGGAGGGGAGGGTTTGGGGGGGGAGGTGAGGACGCAGAAGGAGGTGAGGGGGGGAGGGCCAGGGAGGAGGAGGGGAGGGTTTGGGGGGGAGGTGAGGACGCAGAAGGAGGTGAGGGGGGGAGGGCCAGGGAGGAGGAGGGGAGGGTTGGGGGGGAGGTGAGGACACAGAAGGAGGTGGGGGGGGGAGGGCCAGGGAGGAGGAGGAGGCGAGGACGCGCAGGGGGCCGCGGGTGGGGGCGGGGCGGGCTGGATGCGGACCCGGGGCGCTCGTGGTCGGTGGCCGGAGCCCGTGCCCCGCGTGGCTTCGGCCGTGGGCCGACAGGCGTGGCCGCGTGCTCGGGGGTGCTTGGCTGGCCCCGGGCGCCTCGCCCGCCCCGCCGAGCTGCGCTGCGGGCTACGGACGCGCGCGTGGTGGGGCGCGGGGAGCGTGGCGCCTGCGGCGGCGCCGTCCTTCCTCTCTGCGCCCCGCGGGCTCCACCCGCGTCTGGGCTGCGCGTTGTTCCTGGATCCGCCTCGGGCTTTGATCGGGGCCACGCTGAGCGCGCTGACTTGGGGCAGCGTGGCCGCCGCCGGGACGGGCTCCTCCAGTCCCCGAGCACCGTCTGCTGCGTGCTGGGCAGGGTCTGGCCGAGGCGGAGGCGCTTGTGCCCTCCGTGCCTAAACTCCAAGGCAGGTGCCTTGCGTCCTGGACGGCCCCGAGCAGGGCTTCGCCTTGAACCGCCTGAGCGCTGTCTGCACTGGGCCTCAGGGCCCTGCCACCGCAGCGCCCGAAACGCTCCCGCTCCCCCAGAATCCCACTCCCCTGCAGCCGCGGCTCTGGTCTTCCCGTGCCTGGACGAGGCTCCCACTGGCCAGGCCAGGCCTTCCAGCCGGGCGCGGTGCCCGCGCCTTCCCTCCCCCATGCCAAGACCTGCACAGACTGCTCTGGCAAGCAGTGGGCGAGCTCGCCTTCAGCGAGGAGGGGAGAGGAGGCGAAACACACACAGGGAGGGGGGGCCGTCCAAGCCCAGTGGTGCGGAGAGCCCCAAAGTCACGCTCCTTCCACCCCTGTCCACCCCACCTCCCCCCTCTGCCTCTGGGGCCCCCAAAGAGAGAAGCTCTGAGTTTTTCCGCCGCTTCCCAAGTGACCATCCACAGAGATGGTGTCGAGGAAGGCTCTGCCTGAGTCCAGCTCTGGAATTAGGAGCCATTGGTCCGTCGGGGGCACTGGGGTCCGAGCAGGAACGGACAAGCACCTACTGTGTGCCAGGCGCCACCGGGTGAATAAGCAAGGCCATTTTTCTGTAGAAACCGTTAGTGGGGTTGGGACAAGGTGAGATTGAAGAAGATGTACATTTGTGTGTACGTGGGTACATATGCATGTAAAAGTATGAGATACAACATAGAGTATAAAACATGACTACGTGTAAGGTGTAATCTATTTGTTGTTTTACAAATTACTACATGGAAAATGTAGGATGTTTTAGTTATTTTTGGAATGAGTGTTCTCCCTGGTAGAATCAGGGTGGGCTTCCCTGAGGAGGTGCCATGGAGCTGGATTTGGGATAATAAAAGTCATTGTGGTGAGGTTGTTAATCCTGCAGTGATCCCATGAAGGCTTTGTGTTCCCCACTTTGTTGATAAGAAAACCGTGGTTCTCACCTCCTTCCTTCACCTTCGTCAACGCTCCACCTCCCTAGACTTTGGTGATGTGTCCCTGGTCCCAAGATTATCCCCGCATATCATGGCCATGTGTTAGGGGTGACTCATGTCCCCCAAAAACTTCTGTGTTGAAATCATAACTCCCAGTGCCTCACAATGTGGCCTTATTTGGAAATAGAGTCTTTGTAGATATAATTAGTTAGGATGAGGTCACACTGGGTCTACTACTCCCATAAGACTGGTGTCTTTATAAAAAGAGGGAATTTGGACACAGACACACGGGGAGAATGCCATGTGAGGATGAGGACCCAGATCCGGATGCCGCGTCTCTAAGCCAAGGGATGCCAAAGATGGCCAGCAGGCTCCAAAGGCTGGGGGAGAGGCCTGGAGCACATTCTCCCCCACGGCCTCAGCAACAGCCCACCTGCCCACACCTTGATCTCAGACGTCAGGCCTCGGGAGCTGTGAGAGAGTAAACTCCTGCTGCTGGAGCCCCCAGGTCGCGGTGCTCTGTTACAGCAGCCCTGGGAGACGAAGCCACCCTGTTCTCAACATCAGCAAGGGGGTAAACATCCGAGTCCGCAGGTCATAAGGTGGGAAGTGAGACCCGGCACGATTCAGGTTAAGATGCACCCCGCATTTATTGAGCACCTATGGTGTACCAGGCACCATGCTAAGCCTGTGGATCCCCAGAGTGACCTGTCTGGTGAGCAAGATTGCCCGTGTTGCACAGATGAGGAAACAGAGGCTCGGAGGACACGAGACTCACCCGGGGGGCTGTGCCCCCAGCCCAGAGCACCTGGGGCCAGCCCCCATCTTTCCAGCTGGGGAGCTGTGGTCCTATTGCTGGGGTGCCTGCCCCTGTCCCCTGAGGTCCTCCACGGGGTCCTCCTCGGCAGAGTGCTCCGTGCTCTCCTCCTCCTCCTCCTCATCTCTCCTCTGGCTCCGTATGGTGGTCTGAGTCCTCTGAATGGTTAACGGTCATCAGCACAGCATCAGTAATATTAAAGGCAGCGACAAGTATCGAGCACTTTCTAAGAGCTTCCTGTAGATTTGTTCACCTGGTACTCACCACAACCCTATGAAGGGGGCCCTGTTATTAGCCCTACTTTGCAGGGAAGGAATCTGAGGCACAGAAAAGTTAAGGTAGTTTCCTGAGGTCACACAGCTTGGGAGCAGTGGGTTTGGACGCAGGTGGTCTAGCTGGGGGCTGTACTTGCTTCACTGCCTTTAGAGAGAATTATTCAGGAAGCCTGCCGCCTCCACTGTGGGGCAAGGCTCCCCCTGGCCCCCCACTCACTGAGTGACTAAACCTCCCCTGATTGGCATGAGGCTGCTTAGAGTCTTTGTCGTACTTGGTTGAGCCATCAGAGGTCTTCCTGCAGAAATAGAAATGTGCTTTGCGGAGCTTGTAGGAGAACATGGAGTATGTGTACCATCTGACTTTCCGAAAATCTGAGAAATTTGGACTTCTGAAACCCATGGGCCCAAGGGCTGGGAAACAGGAGTGACCTGTCCAGAGAGCCCTTGCTTCTCAAGTGGACACACTTCAGGATGCCTCTAGGGGGTGCTCAGGACACACGGTGGCTGCACCTGCCTGGTGATGCGTGTTACTTGTGTTTCACTCCTGGGCGAGCCCAGGTCAGACCCTAGGGCAGGTCTACACACTCTCTAAGCAGTGCCTCCTCCTCAGGACCTCTTGCAAATCCCTGTCCTCAGATGGCCTCTCCCTCGGCACAGGATTCACACTCCCACCCCCAGTGCTCACCTGGCCAGTAAGAGCCCACGGGACAGCTGGGGAAAGCATGGTATCCTTGAGTGGCCGAGCATTGTCATGTCCGTAAACCCCATGCATCTTGGCTCTAAAATCCTGCCCAGGAGAGACCAGGATGGATTACTTCCAATCAGGAAATGAAGGAAGGGGCAGGGGGAGGGGGGCGGGGGAAGGGGAAGAAGGTAATGCACGGCTGGTACTAACAGAACCCCACCTGGACTAGGTCCTGTCTGGGAGCTTCCTTTGTGTTCCTCCAGGTAATCTACAGTAGCCCGGTAAGTGGGCATCATCATCCCATGTTACAGATGGGGAAACAGGCCCAGAGAGTCTAGGGGGCATCTATAGCCACACAGAAAAATTAGAGATTGCTCTTGCCCCTAAAAGAATATTGTAGAGAGTGGGGCGCCTGGGTGGCTCAGTCAGTGAAGCATCTGCCTTCAGCTCAGGTCATGATCCCGGGGTCCTGGGATCGAGCCCCGCATTGGGCTCCCTGCTCAGCTGGGAGTCTCCTTCTTCCTCTGCCTCTCTCCCCACTCATTCTCTCAATATCTCTCTCTTTCTCTCTCACTCTCTCTCAAATAAATAAAAATATAATATTAAAAAAAAAAGAATATTGTAGAGATGAGTGAGCACACCAGAGCCTGTTTGGTCTGCATTTAATCTCATGTGGTGGTTTTAAAGCCTACCCACAAATTCTTTGAGACTTTGCCCATCAGAAGCTGGAATATAATTCTCCTCCCCTTGAATATGTCCTTAGTGACTGACTCACTTCTAAACCATAGACTGTGGCAGAAGCAACACTAAGTTACCTCTAAGGCTAGGTCATAAAAGGTGATATATTTTCTACCTGCCTCTGTCATGGGATGCATGCTTTATTTTTTTATTTTTTAAATTTTTTTTAGAGGTTGGGGAGGGGCAGAGGGAGAGAGAGAATCTGAAGCAGGCTCCACGCCCAGTACGGAGCCAGATGCGGGGCTCAGTCTCACGAGCCTGAGATCATGTCCTGAGCTGAAATCAAGTCAGACACTTAACCCACTGAGGCACCCGGGCGCCCCAGGATGCTCGCTGTAGACCAGCTGTCATGCTATGAGGAAGCCCACACCAGCTGGAGAGGTCTCAGGGCTGCAGACCCCTGCGGACCCAGGCAGGTGGGCCTGTGTGGGGGTGCAGCTCCTGCAGGAAGTGACCCAGGACCCCGAGCTCAGAGGCGCCCTGTGTTTGGTCTAATACTCTGCTGTCACTCTCTTGAAACTCTTAATAATCATTGAACGAAGGGCCCACATTTCCACTTTGCACCGAACACTGCAAACCAAGAAGCCTGTCCTGTATCTAGATAACAGCCATCATCTATCAGATATGGGGGAGCGAGCCTTTAACGTGACTCCAGCCCCAGCTACCAACTGATGAAAACCCAGGAAAGACCCACATAAGAGCATCCAGCTGAGCCCACCCACCCCAGAACCACAGAAGATAATCACAGTGAGCGATAGCTGTTTGAGGGTACTGGGTTTGGCACAATGTGTTACAGATACATCAGCTCGTGCTTGATATTCATCAGATGAGGTGGGGATGATAAGCACTTTGTCTGCATCTAAACTGTAGCAAGCATCGGCCTGGGATGCCTTTTGTCACTGTTGACTCATTTGTTTGTTTTTAAACACCTGAGTGATGCTGAACAGGTTGATATTCCAGAATGATAGACTTGGGAAAATCCCCCACCTCTGGTTTTGGTAGCCAGGGGCAGATGTTTAAAAGAATTCATCAGAACGAGTCTTCAAAATTCTAACAATTGCAAAATGTTGCCAATAAAATGGCTTCTATCAAGATACCTAACCTCAAATTGAACCCCACACCATCAAGTAGAAAATGGGGCATTTGAGGGGTATACCTCCAGATCTCTCTCCAGGTCATAGCTCTCCAGGATCTGGAAGGCGCTGGAATATACCTCCACCGCTTTGGCATGGAAGACCATCTCGATGGTGACAAAGTCTGAAAAAATTTTCTATGGGGAGAGAAGCCCGGATAACATAAGCAACACTGTCACAAGGGGAGTCCTGGGGTCATTGTGAATATGGACAAATGGGGGTGGAGGGTGTTAGCTGTTCTTATGGGACAGGTCATAGGCCCGTGCTACTTTTAATTTATTTTGTTTAAACAGACAATACATTCCCATTCAAAAGCTGCCTTGCACGGGAATTGTTCTGGAAACGCAGAGGGCTTTCTGAGGGACGTCCTTTGCTCTGCTCTGTCACCTGGGTTCATCTGCACAGACTTAGCTTCTCTCACTCTGAGGACAGGTGTTTGCAGGGGGATGGCTACAAAACCTCCGGCCTCTGTCCCCCGTGGGCCATGAGTGGATCTCACAACCTGACGAGCCAGTTCGTCAAAACGTAGTATTGGCTTCTCTTGATCAGATGGTTCTGCTCAGCTCAATGAGCTCTTACAGAGCTCCTCCTGCATGCCCGGCCCCAGGGAGGGCCCCCACTGCGTGCCAGGCCTTCGCAGAGGTTCCCACTTTGCTTTGGGCCCCGGCAGGACACAGGCTTGGTGCTGGGGTGGGGGGAGCTTGCAGTTTGGAAACACCCCACTGCACACAAACATTGGAAGTCCCTGGTGGAGGGGCGGGCTCAGAGGAAGTCCGCAAGCCAGCGTAGGAGAGGAGAGGGGAGAGGGGCCAAGACGGATGGCAACACCTGCCTCCTGGCTCCTCCCCGGCCACCCCTGGGAGGCTGGCCTCGTGGTCACCTCTGCAGATCAAGAGGCAGGGCCCAGGCCTTCTCCTGCCACTCACTGGCATATGGCCCGAGGAAATGACCGATCCTCTCTGAGCTCCAGCGTCTTCATCTGTACAGCGGGGACAAGGGTGGCCCGAGTTTACAAAGCCCTACAAGAATCTCTTAGCACAGCAGTTCTGTCTGGGCTCCCCAGATCAGCCCCAGCCCTACCTGGGAGTTGGTCAGAAATGCACATTCTCCAACCCCACCCAGCCCCATGGAATGGGACTCCCGGGTGAACCCATCGCTGGGGGATATGTGTTTTAAGCAGCCCTCCAGGAGATTCCTGCCGCACGCTCAGCTCTGCGAACCCCTGTATGAAAGCATCACTTATATGCTTTCACAGAAGCCAGAGAGCTCTTTGGTAAATATGATCACTTTATTAGACATGGGACCTAGACGTGATACGGTGATAAACATTACCTCCAGTTCTGAGTTTCTGCTCTTTCAGAACTGGGAGGGCTCTCTCAGGGATGGCTTGGATAAGTGCCTCTTACAAACTTAATCCCCAAAGTTTAAAGGATGCCTATTTTAAACTGCATTCATCTGTTGGTCCCTAACTGTGGAAGCCAAGAATCTCATCCCCAACTCTTGCTGGCACTCCACAGAACCCTGCTTTCAGGCCTTCATAAACATCAGGTCCTTAATAATGGCCTGCTGGTAGTTTTAGGTCCTGCCTGCAACACAGATGCTTGAGCTCTCCTCACCACGGGTTCTCTCCTTGTGCATTCAGTTCCCAGATATTGCCGGAGTACTGCAAAGTGCCAGGCCCTGGACCCAGTGCAGGGACCCAGCGGGGACATGGCAGGCAGGTGCCATGTCATGCCCCGTGTGTTCATGCCCCGTGGCACGGACATGCAGTGTGGGGGGCAGGCATGGAACAGCAAGGTGCCCCCCCAACACTCTTCACTCCGTAATGATATGCATGTGTCATGGGTCTTCCCCAAGGTGTCAACTCCATGAGGACAGGGGCCTTGCTCTTCTGGCTGTGATGTCCCAGCTCCAGGCACAGCGCCTGGCACATCGTAGGTGTGTGTTCTACATTTGTTGGATTAATGAGTGAATTAAAGATACAATTAACTCATCCCCTTGGGATAACTGCACCAAGAGGGAGCAGAATAGTGAATTAACATCAGGGCTGGACTGAACTGGGGGTCCGGGTGAGTTTCCCTGAAGATGAGAAGGTGTTAACTTGATGCAGAGTGAGGGCAAAGCCTTCTTGGCAGAGGGCACAGCCTGTGCAAAGGGACTGAGGTGTGTCTCGGGGTTCGGTGCACCTGAGCTTGATTGATGCGTTCAAGATAAGGCTGGGCTGGGGCTTCCAGAGGCTTGGGGAGGATTTCTACCTTTATCCTTAGAGTAAGAGAAGTCATGGGAGGGCATTTAACCCAGGAGTGACGAATTGCAGCTGCCTTTTGTGAGATCCTGGGGCTGCAACTGAGAGTGGGGGGCGGGTGTCGGGAGTGGGTGCAGGGATCTCTGTGACCAGCTGGGGCTCTGGGCCCAGGATTCTGGGTTGCACTGCAGGGGGCGGGGGTGTGGAGGGAGGCATCACCTGTACCCCCCGGCTGACCTAAACATGGCTGGCTCAGTGAAGGGCAAGGAAAGGAGGAGGAGGTCAGAACAAATGCTGTGGGCCCTTGTGTGGAAAGCGGGGGACTTGGTGGGGGACAAAATCTGCCAAATTCTACCGGTGGGGAGCTGGGCCTGGGCGCTCAGAGGCAGGGCCTTCCCCCTGCAGCCGGGATTAGGCCAAGATGAACTGTCCTGGGAGCCCAGGACACACCTGCTCACGTACACACGTACGTGCTCACACATACGCCATGCACACACGTGCATGCACGCTCACACACACACGCACATGTATGAAAACACTCGTACGTGAGGCCAGAGTACTTCTAACACAGGGCCGACCCCGCCTACCTGTAGGTCCTTCAGCTTCTGCTTCTGGAAGGTGTCGATCATCTCCTCCAGCTGGTGGGTGGTGCGGCTGGCATCCGCTGAGGCCCTCTGCACACTGGTCTCTGCCTGGCTCCAGGGGTAGAAGTGTCATGGGGTGGTTCTGGCCTTTAGACACTATTCTGGGTCACTTTCCGTTCTTCTTTTGGGTCCGATCTCCTGCCTCATGGACATCTCTTGCCAATTTGGTCATCGAAGGAAAGACCAAATAGGACAATGGTGAAAGGGCCAGGCACTGCTTGGATGGACCTACTTCCTGGCTGTGTGACCCTGGGCAAGTCACTAAACCTCTCTGAGCCTCAGTTCCTTTTCCCTGTAAGCAGGGGCAGTAATAACACCTGCTTTGCAGGGTTGTCGTAGGAATTAAACAGTGGGTACCTGCTGAGCTAATATAACAGGTGCTCCACTTTCAATAATAATTAATTCCTGCATGTGGAACGTTTTTAGGTAATTAAGTAATTCATCTGACCCGACCCCTCACCAGGCACACGAAGAACCTGGATTTTAGAGTCAGACACCCTCAGAGTGGAGTTCCAGGTTCGCCCCTGGCCTCCCTTTTGTGACCTTGGGCAGCTCCCCTTTCTTGGTCTTGGTTTCCCCATCTAGACAATGGGCATGAGGCTAGAGGTGCCCACATCCAGTGAGCATTCAGTAAGTAGCCCTGATAAGGAGGTGGGGGCATGAAGGGGGGTGACTTGCTGGCTTACTGATCAGTGTGAACGAGGGGACAGAACCCAGGTCTCCAGAGCCCCCAGCCCACTGCTTGCCCTGCACCTTGACCTGCATCCTGAGCGCCAGGCTCTGCACATACCTGCCCAGGTAAAAGCTCACCTAGCTGTTTTGTGAGGTCATTCGTCACCTGCATGAGATTCTGCCTTCCCGCACAGCCCTAGGGCACTCACCTGGGACTGAGAAAGGTGCTGTTAAGGAGCCAGGTTAACCAGCAGCCCTGACCCAGAGGACCGCTGTTCTCACAGTGGTCATGGCCACCCTGGCCCAGCAGCCTCAGGCCCGACCTCCGGGGAAGGATACGATCATTTGCCTGTCCAAAGGGGACTTCTGCCTCAGTTTCTCCAGCTTTTCCAGTTGTTTGATCTCGTTCTTCTGGACTTGTTTGAATTTCTTGATCTCGGCCTAGAGGACAGAGGATGGCTGTTTCCTGGATGTCTGGGTGGGCCAGACCCCGTCGGGCAGTGCCCCCTACTCACCCGTGTCTGCTTGATGTGCGCCCCGTACAGTTTCAGGGGGCTGACGACCTTGGTCTCCAGCCTCTCGACCTGGGGGAGCATGGACACACAGAGAGTCAGAGCAGACAGGACCAGGGAGGTGCGTGGAGCCTGTGGGGCCTCCGGCCTGCATTTAGAGAGTGCCACGTGCTGCATGACAGGAGCCCATGGGGCGCTGCGGAAGCGCAAGACACCCTCCCTCGCCCCTTAGAGGGTTGTGAGCCCCGGCCTCCGCTCAGGGCTCTGCTTCCCAAAGGCTGGGGTGATACATTTCATCTCACGAGGCTTGTTACGTCTCCCATCAAATGGGTATAACTACTGTGCCCACTGAGGGTGTCATGACCGTTCACTGGGAGTCACTGCAATTCCAGTTCCCCAGACTGCCTTACGACCTCGCTGCAGGGACTAGATAGACTCACTTGGAACACAATACAGCCTGGGATTCAGAGCTGCCTGAGCTGAGCGGGCTGTGCAGCCCCCCGAGGGCACAGCAGGATCTGTGAGGGGGGATGCCTCACACCCCTGAGTTGGTCCCTAACTGAGCCAGACATAGGAGCCCTCCCATACCTTTCCCCTGGGCCCCTTAAGACCCTGATTGCCGGCCACCACCCCCAGGGGGTCTGAATCAGCACGTCCTCAGCGTGACCCAAGATTCTGCATTTCTAACAAGTTCGCAGGTGAGGCTATTGCCTTGAGGACCAGTGGCAGGGGGATCCCCTGAAATCTTGGCTTGCCAGATGGGCCAGGGGATCTGGAATCCCCACCAAGCCCCTTCCTTCTCCTTGTCAAGGCTTATGACCCTGCTGGGGTAAACACAAATCTTAAATAATAACAATTTTCCCAGGAGTCAAAAGGAAAAGAGACTTTTCCCCTTGCTTTCCTTACAGCATTTTCTTTTAGAAAACCTGCAGTTGTAAATCCCTTTCTCTGTGCCTTTGGGGCTTATGTAAATCTTTTTAAAAGCTAAATAAGATTCTTGATGGTTTACAAGCCAGGCATGACAGGTATCTCTTTGAAACACAAACATGGAGGTCGGCAGGGGAGTTTGCTCTGGGGCCTGGCTCCAAGCTCTGACGACCTGCTGGTCCCAGAGATCGGAGAAGTTTTACTTTTCCTTGGGAGAGAGGCGATGCGCTGACACAGGCGGCCGCCCTGCCGACAGGTGGACTTCAGAAGTCCCGTGGGACCAACGGTGCCATCTGGTCGCCTGTCCTGAGACGGTGCGCAAGGGGTGGTTTCTGCACGACTGTGTCGGGGAGTGAGGTTTCTGAATGCAGACAGCTATGTATCGCCCGCAGTGTGTCTCATTTAGTGCTTATTCAAAAGAAAAGCTGGTTGGATCTTGTCTGCCGTCACACAGAGGGCTTTCCTGAGTTGGCAGGTGTGTATTTTTAGTCATCTCCCTAATACCCCACTACCTCCTCGCCCTCCCCCGCCAGGATTTCTGGGGGTCCTGGGCCCCAGAATGTGCCTCCTGCCTGGGACTCGCAGAGCCCACAGCTGCAGCCCTCAGGCCTGGCTTCCTGGGCCCCCTGCCTTGTCCGGCCTGTGTCCAACACCGCAGAGCCTCCAGGCTCTCAGTCCCATAAAGGGCGGCGCGACCCCAGGGAGGGAGTGGTGTGAGTGTCCACCCTTCAGGGACGCCTTTGGAAGAGGTGTTTGTTAGGTGTGGCCCCCGCAGGGCGGCTCCCACCCTCAGACCCCCACCCTCGTCCTCCTGGGCGACCCCGCCTACCTCGGCCTGCCGGTAATCCTGCACCTTGGCCAGGTCCTCGGCAAAGCTCCTCACGGTGGCCCGCAGCTCTGGGTTCTCGGTGTTGGCGAAGTCGGTGAGCTGCTTGACAAGCTGGTCAGCCTTGTCCCGCAGCCGAGCCGTCCTGCGGGTGTAGGCAGCCAGCAGCGAGCAGAACTGGCCAAAGTACTTCTCGGCATTGGTCACGGTGTTCTCCATCACCCTCACCTGGCTGTCCCTGGGGAGGAGGGGGCCTGAGAGGCTGTTCTGGGCCGTGACATCCAGGTAGGTCAGGACAGCGACACAGGGGTCACCTACACATCACCCGCCACCTAGCTGTCGAGCACCCTGCCAGGTACCTGCTCCCCGCCCCCCCAGTAATGCGCACGGTTCTATCAAGGCAGATTTGGGAGACCAGCTGGACCTGAAGGCTGATCAAATGGCTGGAAGGAATGCAAAGGGTGCTTTGGCTCCAAATCCAGCCTTACCCTCCCTGGGACCCTTCCTGGGGCTTTGATCTTCCTGGGGGAGTTATTCTGTCTTCCAACCGTCCCTGGCTGCAATGGCCCCCTCCCTCCAAAATCCGCCGATTCTGCTCCACGCACCCCCCCCCCCCGCCGCCGAGCTGTTGAGATAGATTCTCTCCTTTCTCTGAACCCTGAAGGTTTTTAAAAAATTAATAAACTTTTTTGGGGGGCCAGTTTTAGGTTTACAGAAAAACTAAGGGGAAAGTACAGAGAGTTCCCATAGGCCCTCCCCTCGGGGCAAACATGGTTTCCCTGTTATTATCAACAGGGGCTGCATTTTTATAGAAGCACATGGAGTGGTTCAGAGGCACCCTGGAGTTTGCAAAGCTCAGAGGAACCAGGCGCCAAAACAAATGGGTCAGGGGCAGGCAAAGCTGTAAGACCGCATTGATAGGATCAGGGACGGTGCCACAGGGGCGTGGTGTCTGGTGGGCTTGGAGGCACGAAGAGAGCTTTCCCAGGTGAGCAGATGAGGGAAAGAGGGGATGGATCCTTTGAATTTGGCCACCCCAGAGCTGTGGGCAATAATGCTGGGGAAGCAGAGGTCAGACTTTGGATGCTTCCCTGGGCTTCCCTTGACCTTGAGGTGGGGGTGAGCACCCTTTACCCATCTCTCTTGGTACATCAGGCCCCCAAACCCTGCTTCCCCTTCCCTCCCAGCCAAGGCCAGCACAGGGCCACTCACCTGTAGAGAACAATGCTCATTGTGACGGGAGGCACCAGCTGTCCTAGGCTAGGAGAATAAGGCCAGGGCCCCAGGGGTCCTGCAGGGCTGGGCGCAGCTGTGTGGGCTGGGCTCAAGGGACGCTGCCACCTGGTTGCCAGGCAACATGGCCACCCACAGCCACCCTGGGAGGAGCCCCAGCTGGTTGCCTGGCAACCTCTCCCCAGGCCAGCCTTGCCCAGCCTCGCATTGGCTGGGGGGAGGGGTCCCAGAGAGCCCGGTACCCTTCGTTTGAGGGTGGAGGTTCTGCGGAACCAGGCAGTGTGGGTTCCCTAGGACTGGACAGAGGTCAGATTTAGGGGAGCTTGCTTGGGGCTCAGCCATGAGGGGCTGCCGCTCAGCCTTCCCCAAAAGTCTGGGAGCAGCAAGCAGGGTCCTAGGATACCTGGTTACTGGGGAGGGGCTGTATGGGAAAGCACAGAGTGAATCTGGGGGGGGTCCTGAAGCCTTGTAGCTGAGTGGAGGGGATGGAGCCCCCAGCCCAAAGGGACTTCTTTAACATTTCAATCATCATCTTATTTTTCCCCTCATTTATAAAAACAGTTCTTGCTCATTGTTAGAAAAGTAAGAAAGTAAAGACACAGAAAATCCAAGACCACATGATGAAACTGTAGTAAGGTATAATACATTTTACTAAGTGGAAGCTGTGGATCTTTCACTGTATGTACATTTTACCTAAAGCAGCATGAAGGTCGCAACACTAAGAGATACGGCGGGAGGGGCAGGTGTGGACCGAACCCACGGCAGAACTTGGCAACCCGCTGGGCTGGGACTCCCTGGATGCGGCTGTTCATTTGCTGTGTCTGCAGGTTTTCAGAGTGGAGAGCCTTTTTTTTTTTTTAAAGCACAGATAAAAGCAAGGACTTTAGAATCAGCTAAACACAGGTGTAAATCCCAGACTCCAGCCCTGCTGTGGGACCTCGGGCAAGTCACCTCCCCTGTAAAATGGGACAGTATCTCCTTGCCTTGTCGTCGTTGGGAGAAAGAAGTCTGTGGTGTGAGGGTAAAGGGACAGGGCAGGGCCAGACTTGCACTGCGGTTCCCTGCACATCGGCCCAGGGTGGTGACCGTTGCCCCGCGGCGGGTCCTGGGTGCCCCGTCTCCCTGTGCTGCTGTCTGCCCGCTCCCTACACTTGGCTGTGCCCTGTGTGCCCTGTGGGCCAGGGGCAGCATGTAAACATAACTCAGCGTCGTCCTGTGCGGCAGCTCCGTGTGGGGCACGCCACTTCCCCTGACCGGTGCCCTGAGGCTCTCCCCTGCAGGACGCTGGGCGGGCTGGGGCCGGAGCTCCTGTGCCCCCACTTTGTGCAGCGCACTGGGTCCCATCCCCCTCCCATTCTTGGCCCCCTTCACTCTTGGAGGCTGTGCTGAGTTGAAAAGTGTCTCCCCAAAATGTCCCCTAGAACCTCCGGAAGTGACCTCTTTTGGAAAGGGGTTTTTGGCAGATATAACTAGCTGAGATGAGTCATGCTGGAGTAGGATGAGGTCTAGTCCAACGACTGGTGTTCTTAAGAGAAAGCAGAGACCCAGGGAGACGGCCATCTGACACAGGGGCTAAGACTGGAGGGACGTGGCCACTGGCCAAGGATGGCCGGCAACACCAGGAGCACGAAGAGGATCTTCCCCAGGGAGAGGCACGAAGGATCTTCCCCTGAAGCCTTCAGAGGGAGCTCAGCCCTGCCCACCCCTTGATTTTGGACCTCTGGCCTCCAGACTGTAGCATAAACCTCTGTCGTGTTAATGCCATTTTAGTATGGTGGCCCCAGGACACTCGCACACCCCACTCCCTCCCCACAGCACTGCTGTGTTCCCACGTGGTCAGCCTCTCTCCCCACAGGGGCTGGTGGCCTGCCTGGTTTCTCCCGGTCCTCTGACTTCTCACCTGCGCCCTATACTTTTGATGATCCCTTTGGTTGATGAATCCCCTCCTGAGCAAGCCTAGCGGAGAGTCTCGTCCATGTTGAGAGGCGCCCACATGGAGGAGGCGCCTTTGCCCTGGGTTCTGGATCTGGTCCCTGGTCCAACAAGCATCCCTGCTCTGTGTCCCTGTCCCTCCACGCTCCTTCCTGCAAGCTTCAGCAGGAGCAAGCCTCTCCTCCTGATGGAGAAATTGCTCCCCAACTGGCCCCCCCAGCCCTCCTCTCTTGTACTCCCCGCTTCGTGCAGCTTTGCAGACAAGTGGCCTTTCCTTGCTCTCGGTTCCCTTCACTCCCTCTTGCCTTTGCGGTCGTTCTTCATTGTCACTAAATCCAGTGCCCTTCCTCGGCCATGTCCCCTGCCAGCAACATCCAGGCCTGCAGCCCGCTCGATGGATTTTGGACTTGCCGGCCCCCACAGTCCCACGAGCCAGCTCCTTAGAATAAGTCCCTCCTCCCTGAGGGACTGGTTCCGTTTCTCTGGAGACACGGCCGCTCTTGTAGGACCAGGAGAAGCGGCAAAGCTCTGCGGGCTTCTGCCCTCCAGGAGGGGCGTCTGTGTTGGCGGCGGTGGCCACAGGAGGGCAGCAGAGACCCCCTTATGAGGACCTCCAGCGTGCGGGGCAGTGAGGCTGGGGACCTGGAAACCCAGCGCGGGGAGCACAGCCCAGAAGACACCACCTTAACGCAGAGGGGGCAGAAAGAGCAGCGGGGAGGGGGGAGTCGGAGAGAAAGGGCGACGTTTTAATTCACGTCTTAGAGATTTTAAGGAACTTTCCAAAAGGAAAACCACCTTCCCGCAGGGCCACATGGAGACCTCTTGCGGCCAGAGAGAGAACAGCGGGGGCACAGGGAGCACCGCGCCTGCAGGGGCCCCCCTCCCGCCGCCTGCTGCCCTCTCTCCACCCCACACCCCTTCTCAGGGCGGGCTGGTCTGAGTCCTTGAGAACAACTGAAAACACAGCCGCTGGAACCAGTGGGTGGAGAGCCCGTGGACTCTCTCTTTCCTGTAAACATTTCTGCCGAACCCCGCAAGGGATGCAGACATCCTGACCCTTTGCCCAGACCCCAGCGTGCACCTACAAGGAGCCAGGGCATTCTCCTACGAGCCCTCACGGGACCGTCACACCCAGGAAATTAACACGGACGCAGTACCCCCTCTTGAAATCCCCGCGTCCCCCACCGTCCCATGCGTGTCCCTGAGAGCTGGCTTTCCTGCTGATTCGGGAGGCGTTGCAATTCCTGCCTGAGTCTACTTGGTCTCCTTAAATTGGGACCTGCTCCTCAACCTTGTTTTCTTTCAAGATACTGACTTTTCTATTTTGCAACTTTTTATTCTGAAATCGTTTCAGTTGTACACAAATCATGCAAGAACGCTTTCACCCAAATTCCCCAATTGGGAGCATTTTACTGAGTTTGTCTTACCATTCTCACTCTCTTTCTGTGTATGTATGTTATTCTCTGATCCACTTGAGAGCAAGCTGCAGACCCGATACCCCTTCACCCAGACACTTCACGGGTGCTTCCTAAGAGAAGGGCAGGTCTTTTAGCCACAGTACAAATGGTGAAACCAGGAAACTAACACCTATTATTTTATTCTATTATCTCATCTACCGACTTTGTTCAGAATTCATACTTGTCCTAATAATGTCATTTCAGTCAATAAGCAAACATAATTTTCCCCTGTTCCAGGATCTGACCCAGGCTCACCTGCTGTCTTTAGCTGGCCTGATTCTGACATTTTTGTGGACTCTGGGCCAGTTGTTTTGGAGAACGTTGCTCCATTTGGGGTCATTGATGTCTCCTGGAAGATTGGGTTGCACACTTGGGAGGAGGGCTCAGAGCTGGTCCCAGGACAGGCCAGGACTCCTCCCTGAGGCTCGGTGAAGTAGGAATAGTAATCGTCCGCCCTCATCAGCTCACTTTGGGGAGATGTTGGGAAGGACCCTCAGTGTCTGGCCATAGTAACCCAGGGCAGGATGGAAGTGCCAGATCCAGATGGGCAGAGGGCTTGTCAGAGCCTGCAGGGGCTCCGTCGCCACATATAGTCCGACCTAACTGGGCTCAGGGAGCTCTTCCCTCCCAGATCCAAGCCTCAGACATCGTCAGTGCAGCCAAAGATCAAATTTGTTGGTTTTTTTCCAGCAGCCACATTACACTGTACTGACATTTCTCAGACTGCAAAACCAGCCGGCTAATGCATGGACTCAGATGGGGGCTCAGTTCGGGGCTGCTGCAGACCCCACACTTGGCAGCGTGTTTGTGACCCTGCCAGGGCCCAGCATTTCTTCCGATTCTGAGTCTGGTTTGGGGGATGTGTGCAGAGATCTTGGGGGTCATGCTAAGAGGCCCCAGGGGGAATGGGGTGGGGTGGAGCCCCCCAGCTGGGTCCTGGTTGGTGGTCCAGACCCCTGGGAAATGGCTCCATCCCAAATGGGGATACACTGGGGGAGCATCAGGCCAGCCCAGGAGGGGTATGGCTGGGAGGGGTGTTGGAGAAGCAGGTGGTAGAGTATGCTTCCCCAGGCGCTGGGCCCTGAATTGGCAAAGAGCAATAAAGAACGGAGCAGAGTGTCTCAGTTCCACGAGATGGGCAGCCCCTGGAAGGGGCAGGGGTGGGGTTCTCATCCTGCCTACCCTTTACACCCCCAGACTCTGCCTCCTGCTCTGACTCCTGACCTCCAGGACATGAGATAATAAATGTGTTGTGTTAAGCCACTAAGTTTGTGGTCATTTGCTACAATAGCCACAGGAAACTCCCTCTAAATTCCAAGCCTGGCCGTTTATCCCTTCTCTGGGGCTGGCCACAGAGCACACAGAAGTAATACAAACGCTGAAGGACCAGAGAACTGGTGGGGTGCCTGTCCAGGGGGCGCTGATCGTGAAGCCCCCACTGCCCTCATGGGCTTTAACATGCTCCCCACTCCTGGACGTGGGCCCTAAGCTCCAGACTGGACCCCTGGCACTTTGCTCCTGTTCTTCCCATTGCCTGAGCCCTGGTTCTCAGCCCACAGACCCGCAGGCAGGAGGACTGTGGAGCCAGAGTGTCCCAAGTCCAAATACAG